GAGTACAGTCGAGACACCAAAGGGGCGATATCTTTTTTGAAGCAATGGCGGGCCAAAAAAGATGACACCAATGCCCCAAGGCCCAAGTTCTGCTTCCGAGAGGCCAAATCAGTCGAGGTCTCCAGAGGCTTCCCAGCCAACTGCTCGGGACCTTTGAGGCCACGGAAGTTGAACAATGGGGTTGTCCAAAAACATATGGCTATAGGAAAGTGATGGAAAGTGATGATACCCCATGGGGGTTGGGTTTGGCCTCAACGACAGCTTGCCACAAACCGGAGCCAAATCAGGAGTTCGGCTGATTGTAAACCAAGCTTTTGCGGATCTAAAGCCTATATTTCCTTACCAAACAATCGAGATCCAAGAAAAATCATCAGAGAAAAACAGCCAAAAATCATTCACTTATGAAAAAAAAACATGGAACCGTTGATACGTGATGTACAATAATAAATATCAATAAACAAGATAACGTAAAACAAACAAGATACCGTTTTTTGTCCTAAACAACGATACCTTGTCTTAGGCACATCCCTCATCAAGACTTTGAAAGCTTCATGCAGCTCAGTGACTAGCATAGCAAGGAGTTCCGGCATTCATCCCCCTGGCACTGTGGAGTCGGAACATGAATTTTCTGTTTCTTGACAACCCCCAAAAAAAGGAGATGCTGAAAAGTTGGAAAGCCGAAAATTAGAGAAAATTCGTCCATTCTGGGGTTTTCCTCATGGTGGGGTTGTCCCCAAGTATGGGGTTTTCATATGTTGAAAAATATCTTTGGGGTTTTCCTCATGGCTATACGACTATGTCAGATACCTATAGGGATGCCATTTCCACCATCCCCAATGACCAACGAGGCCCCTTTTAAAACCTGGAGGATTCAATGTCAAAACCAACTTGGTACCACCAGAATACGAACACCTTTAACATATATTACCCTCTGGTAAACTAACCGTTTGCTATTGAAAATGGCCATTTATAGTGAGTTTTCCCATTAAAATTTGTGATTTTCCAGTTCGCAAAATGTAAACGTTTACCAGGCCGGGTAACATATATTACTGCCACGTGTTAATGAAAGGTGCAACCGTTGTGTGGCTACCACGAGTATTCACCATCCGACGGTCCCGATGCTGCTAACACTCTTTTGGGCCGCTGGATATCGCTGGATACATTGCCTACGTCACGTCACCTCCAGTCCACGTTGTAACCATCAAATCATCCTCGAAACAAACGTATGCTGTGGATGGTTACGAACTCCGAAAACCACAAAAAAAAGATGGCTGATATATGTTGAAACCCATGAAAGGCTCTGTTAGGCTCTGTTGAAACCCTACAGTGCCTGAGGTGGCATGACTGCCCCTTATCCCCCGACTTGTGCCAGTCATGGCTGGAGGATTTTGGGATAGCCCCCCTTTCCAATGGGATAAACCATCTATCGACCTATCATGCAGGATGTTTTTTTTCCATCAGCATTTCAAATTACCAACCGGTCATGGTGTGGGCTGTGGCTGTGACATACTACAGGGCCTCAGAAGGACTGCATCGAATGAAGCCGAGACTCTTCATGTTCAGGAAAGTTATCTTCGAACCCGTGTCACAAATGCTGGTTCAGAACAGGAATTTCAGAGGGATTGTACGAAGACAAAACATGCCAAATAATTCAGGACGATAAACTCCTGTTCTGTCAGGGTCACTTGTGTCACTTGTCCCTTAGTATGATGACTTGATGTGGTTATTCTGCTGACTCACGACATTCTGGGGCATCCCCAGGTAGGGGAACTCTCCATACAAACCCAAGGGGTCGACCCGGCCATAGCTGGCCAGGTTTCGGAAACATGTGAAAGACCAGGAAAAAATGACTGGTTGGTGGTGCAATAAACATCTTGAAAAATGATGGAGTTCGTCAATGGGAAGGATGACAACCCATATACGAAATGGAAAATAAAAAATGTTTGAAACCAGCAACCTGTTCGAGCATATCACATCTCCAAGGGGGAAAAAAAACATGATCCGACCCGCAAGTTGATGCATGTCCTCTGGCCGGCACAGCGCGTCTTACGCTGAAATAGGTGAAACGGTTGACAAATTACAGGATTCCGAGAACTAGTAGCAACACAATTCTAGGACTTGTCCAACATGGATCAAAAGAACAACGTGCCCAAACAAATCCTGGCATAGCACAAACAACACACATCATGGAATCTCAAGCTACAACTTTAGAGGTGCTCAAACCTTGGGGGTTGTAAATCTTGGGTTGAAGGTTTCAAGCATCCTTTTGCAAATACTGCAAGAATGATGCCATTGTGGGAAAGCGGAAGGGTTGGCTTGATACCACGCATACTCATTGCTTCTTCAATGTGCTGGGTTACCCCACGAACTTCCCCACTAATTATTTGCCATCTGGTTATTTAACATAGCCATGGAAAATCACCATTTTTAATAGGTAAACCATCTATTTCTATGGGCCATCTATACCATGGCTATGTTAAATAACCAGAGGGTATCATGTTACAATCAGTGGACATTGCGGACATCTATGCCATCAGCGATGGCAAATCCCCAACAGAAATACGAAGAGTTCCCCCACTGACTGCCCTCCGAAGATGCCACTGATGGCAGTGTGAAATTCCTTCGGCCATCCAAAGCTCCACAGAATCCAATGGCACGTGCATCTCTGCAGTGGAACACATGATTTTAGCTCCACGTGCTCAGGGGATTATGTCGAACATGTCCAGCTGTGAAAAAGGCTGCTCTGAGAATCAGGTGCTCTGTGACTAGACCGATTCTGGGACTTCAGGAATCGCAAGAACATGACAATCATAGTGAGTAGGCCGTTAACATTTGGAATTCTTATATTGCTGCAAATACTTCGCAATCGCATATGCATCTGAACCAATTACCCATGAGATAGTCACTGGGATGATACATAAAACTAACCAATTCTATCACCACTCGTCCATGTTTCTTCGCTCCATAAGTTGTGTAAAAACGTTTTTACTGATTCGACTCCCCATGCATTTCTGCTTACATGATTACATGTATGACCTTATATATTATCTATACTGTATAAGTCCAACATCTATTCTTTAGTTGGAGAATGGATTCTTCCGTCCATACCTGCTCTTTTGAATTCGTGACCAACCATGCTATGTGCAACAAATTCACTGGTTGAGGACGGGATTCCCCAAATCCATCGACAGAGGGAAAGGGGTCTGTCAGGTAGTCCCTTTGACCCATCTTGCCAATCCCAACAACTGGAATCCATCAGTTAATGCTGTATCTGGTTGGTGGTTGGTTGACCTACCCCTCTGACAAATGATGGAGTTCGTCAAATGGGATGATGATTCCCAACATATGGAAAATAAGATTCATGTTCCAAACCACCAACCAGGTATATCATTTATCTGTTATCTTCTTATTAACTGTATTAACTAGTATCTATTGGAAGGTAACATGTGGCCCCCAACAGATACAAGTTGGTTCATGAAGCCATTTAGAAGCCATTGTTCAGTGTGGATAGATCCACCATAATTCTTGGTTTGAGGGGTCGCATTGCAGGTAACTTTGCCGAGTGGATTTACCATTTGTGGCTCAGGTATGTCAAAGCATGTTCTACCCTCCGGTACTCCAGCACAACTATTGGACATCGTAAATTTATCAGATGATCTACCTATCAAAAAACCGGTAATGTTCTATAGTTATGTTAAATCAAAATCTATCTATAATAAAAATAAAATATACATACACCCTCTGGTAAACTAACATAACTATGGAAAATCACCATTTTTGATGGGTAAATCCACTACAAATAGCAATTTTCAATAAAGCTATTTTGACATAACCAGAGGGTATGCCATTGTATTCCATTATATCACCATCTTTTCCGGAACATTTTTAGAGGTGTACTAACCCCATGGCCCAGGTCTGTTATAGCCTGATCGATCGTCATCAAACCCATGGACACTGGACCGTTCCGCCGTTCAGTGCCACGTACTTCAGGGAGCAGCTGTCGTCCCTGCCGGCGGCACTTGTTAATAACATGGGGGAATACATAACTATCGATGATTGCTGATACAATGTATATATATATATATATGCAAATCTATCATGCGTAATTATATTTTTTTAATGTGCATGTATGTATGTATATATAATTATATTAATTATATGTGTATATATATATACATATAAATTTGAACATACATGTATGTTGTAGAAGGTAACCAAAAACATGAGAAGCTGTTCAACTGGTAAAATCACCATGTTGCACAGGTAAAAAAAGGTAAAACATCCATCAATGGACCATTTTTCCATTAGCTCCCGTAGCTTCAGGCCCCTTTGTCCACCACATAAGGGCACGTTACATAAGACTGTATGCATGCATACATCTATGCATCGATACAGTAGCGTGCATGTATGTGTGTATGGATGTGTGTGCATGTATGCCTGTGTAGATGTATGGATGTGTGCATGCATGCATGCATGCATATATATATATATACGCATAATATATATATATATATATATACGCATAATATATATACACACGTGTGTATATATATACATTAATATACACATATATTATGTGTGCAAGATGATGTGCGGATGTTTTAGGCATATCAACAGTGATATTCAGAAGACATCACCAAATCAACAGAGATGCAGTTGACTTCTGCCAGGATGTTTGGTCATCGTTGTTTTCCCTGTCAATAGCATTGCCATTTTGGTGTGTATACCCTATTGTTGGACACATCCAAAGATCATATTGTTGATTATATACATCCCGTGAAATCTACCGGTACCAGTTGTATGCCAGATTCTATGTTGGCAATATAGCAAATACATACAAGGTGGGGCCCCCAAATAGCTGAATTTGTTTGTAACTCCAATCCAACAACTAGGGCTTATGGCACTTATAACTATATAGCGTACTATAGTTAATGGGGGTTATACATAAATATCCGGGTTCCATTGTACAATCCCATTGTGGTTCCAATATTTTTCCTTGTTCAAGCTAGATCTGCAACTGTGGCCACCGGATTTTGGTGGCAGAAATCGGTCAGCAACTGTCCCAAGGGTAAAACCAACCGTAGACTCTGGAGACTGATCTTCAATTCATTGCAGACATGTTTGTGAATATCCCAAGCCAAATCGAAGCCATGCGCATTCCAACAGAGTTTTTCTTCCCCGACCAAAGTGGAGCACTTTAGCTTGAATACATCAGCTTCAAAAATACATTCAAGTTGCATAATAAGGTCCCTCACCGGGGGAACCTGAATGCCAATGTAGAAAGATCCGGGCTCAGGAGACGAAATGTCGCATTGCCCGTCCTCGTTTGTCCCACAAGTGACGGCACTTCCATCACTGCGTACGAGAACGGTGTGGTCCCTTCCGGCAAAGACCTGAGTGTATGACATTCCTTCACTCAAGGCTCGAATGTTGCATTGACCAACAGCATTTGCTCCGCAAGCAACAGCATAGCCATCACTTCGGAGAAGAACTGTGTGTTCGTTGCCTGCGGATATGTGGGTGTATGACACTCCTTTTACCAAGGGTGGAATGTCACATTGTCCATATTTGCCCTTTCCACAAGCCACAGCAAGGCCATCACTTCATAGAAGCACGATATGAGACCCGCCTATGGAAACTTGGGTGTATACAACTCCTTCTTCCAGAGCTGGAATAAGGTCCTGTCCACGACAAGCCACAGCAAAACCATCACTTCGCAGAAGCACGGTCTGACTTTGGCCTGCTGAAACCTGGGTGTAAGACAGTCCTTCATCCAACTCAGGAATGTTGCATTGTCTACGATCATTCATCCCAAAGGCCACAGCCTGGCCATCACTCCGAACAAGAACTGTGTGATGCCCGCCCGCAGCAACGTGGATGTATGTCAATCCTTCAGCCAAAGGTGGAATATCACATTGTCCAAAAACATTTAGACCACAGGCCACAGCAAGGCCATCACTTCGGAGAAGAACCGTGTGATTCCAGCCTACTGAAACCTGCGTGTAAGACACGCCGTCTTCCAGGGACGGCAGGTCGCATTGTCCCTCCTGATTTCTTCCGCAAGCAACAGCTACACCATCACTTCGGAGAAGCACCGAATGTAGTGCCATGGCTGATCAAAAGATATCAAAAAGCAAGCCACAGCAATGACCAATACTTTCAAAAAGACAGGAACACACATTATATATGTTTTTTTAAATAATTTCGCAACCACCACTCTCCATCGGGAAAGCATTCATGAATGTCTTGTGCTTTCTTCCACTTAAGGCTACAGTATGTCTGAAGATCAGTTGCTTTCGTATCAGCCGAGAACTTATTGGTATCAGATCTTTGACCCATTGATGCCTTTTGCCGGCTTGCTGGTTTAGGTGTGATCGTTTCACCGTGCTGCCTGGATTTCCTGAGAGTGAAGTCCAAATATGGTCTTTTTAAGGGCAGTGTGCACTTCCCATCTCTGATGGTAGGATGTATTGCCACTTGAACTGGTTCGACCACTCATGGTGATTACATCGGTTGACTGCTCATTCTTGGAGTTGTTTGTTCAGCGTTTTAAAATTTCAAAACATTCTGAATTTCTGGCAGAAACAAAACACATCATTTCGCTGAACTGTCGTCTTTGACTTATCGGGCTGCGGTGTTGTGCGTCAATCTATGATGAATTCGAGAGGCATCAAATGAGTGTCAAAATTGGGTACCCCAATAATTTCACTGTCAAGACTATAAATCTGTGGCCCCCTGGGACTGAAATTCTCACCCATCCTCGAATCCTCTAAATGGAAATGCTCCGCCAATCCAACAACTGAGCGATGCTGGAGTTTCGTGATGACAGGGCGCCATGGAAACCATGAGATTCTGTCGAGTTGAACCATGGACCTGTCTTCCAACTCGATTGAAGGACCATACAGATTCTTGTTTGGCCCTTAACAGATATACATGGGTTTATAATGATATATAACCTTAGTTATAGGCGTTATATGTTGTTATATTTCCATTTATAACTTATAAATACTTATAACCGTTAAGGGCCATAACTATAAACACCCCATTTCTATCCATGTCTGACTTCCAAAGCGCCGTCACCGCAGTCACCCGTCACCGGCCTCACATGCCCGGCTTTCCAAAGAGTCGAATGCATTGCAAGGAGGCGCGACTCCAATTGCAGCCCACCTGCCGCGCAGGTAACACCGAGTCATCCCTTACACCCAACTATGGAGGGTAACTCTATGGGTAAGGCATGGAGGCTATAAGGTAACCATAGATGGTAAAGTACTTATGGAGTACTTATAGAACTTTTACTATGGAGGAACTATTGAGGGTATAAGTAACTATAAGGTAACCACAGACTGTCAATCCAAAAAGATGGTAAAAGTACTGCTAACATCTGCTAACTATGGAGCAACACACCATTGTCGGTACTTGAAGGGTGGTAACTTCAAAATGCAAATGTTTCACGGAGTGCACTGAAATGCTAGAACTATGTCTGGATATCTGACAGGCCATAATCTGACCCTCTGGGAGTATTTAGTATTTATCATACGACCTCGAACTATTCTGTGCCAAGGCCCAACGACACACAATCGCCTCATTTTGGAAGTTTGCAGGGCGTTATGGGATGGTTGAATCTCGGCGCAATCTTGTACAATCTCACAACGATTAGATTCGATTTGCCCGGTAAATTGATATAGGCCATATATGGGCATATGAATCCATATTAGCTATATGGATTTGGAAAATTGCCCAGCAATATCCAGCAATAGTGAACTATGCCTTACTAAAAATGGTGGAAAAATCCGTGTCCAATGGATCCAGCATCCGCCGCAGCTGGCCAACTTGCCCACCAGTTCATGGTAATCGATGAAATCACCATCAAATTACCCTCCGGAAATTTAACATATGGAAGGCCATTTAGTTCGTTAATTTACCCATCAAAAATTGTGATTTTCCCATTAAAAATTGCGATTTTCCCATTAGAATAGTTATTTAACATAATAGCTAATTTACCAATAAAAAATGGTGATATTCCCATTAGAAATGGCGATGTCCCACTAAAATATAGTTATCTAACATAGTTATAACTTACCCATTAAAAATGCTGATTGTCCATAGCTTATGTAAACGTTTACCAGAGGGTACCATGTTTGGAACGGTTAAAAACACCAGTGAATGGCTCCTCTTGTGCCCCTCCCCAAGGGCACCATGGAATCTTCTTCCATGTGGGGTCTGGGCGCGGCACGGCGCAGTGATGGGAAAACATGATCCGGTGAAATCTTTTTCGTTGGAGTTTTTTTCTGGTGGTTGACCTACCATTGGTTGGTAATATACTGTTAATATATGGTTAATATTGATGGTTAATATTGATGGTTATTATATGGTTAATGATAATAATCATCTGGTTGGTGGTTTCAACCGAACCCCTCTGAAAAATGATGGACTTCGTCAGTTGGGATGATGACATTCCCAATATATGGAAAATATGAAAAACTAATAATAACCATCATCATATTATAATTGTGTCATGTCATGTCTTCCTGCAGTTTCAAGTTTCAAGATAAGGAAATATACAATAAAAAATAAAAGTATAAAATACTGTTCGACTCAGTTTATAATGGTTTTAATATGTTGTTGTTTTTTAATGTCTGATATAGATACTCACCGCAGCAGGGGTACTATCACATACTCATACTGTTGATTCCGTATAGCAAATGTTCCACTGGCTGGTGGATCGTCTCAAAGACTTCAGGATCAATTTACCTGGCGAAATCTAAATGGTTGCGTAAAATTGCCACTGGACATAAATTGCCATGTCACTCCATTTCAAGGATGATACTGATACTCTGGATTATTGTCATGTAAATACTATGTTTACATAAAAATGGAACTAATGGTATCATCCTTTCATCCTTTACTGATAACTCATGTCAAGCCATTTCTCTTGGTAAATGAAGATTGAGTTATTGATCATCATCACGGTGAAATCTTTTGGCTATGTACAAACTAAGCTTCAGGGACACTTGACGACGACACAGCTGTTGAGAAGAGCTGGGTGAATTACTCCACCTCTTCACGTGAAGAGAGGCACAGCAACCAATCAACTCTCTGAAATCGATATCTGGGTGGCTTACATATGCTTATAAAATTCCATGAAATCCCCATTTTTCACAGTGAAGCTCCCCAATGTCCCCTGTCTTTCTTCGTTTCACCCGTTTCATAAACCCAAACGTTGTCGCGTCGCGCGTCGCGCCTGTATCCCGTGTAGCCCGGAATGGCGGACCAGGGCCGTGAGGGTCGAGAACCTGACGAACTGTTCATTAAGTTATATAATGTTGTTGATAATCATTGAATCATTGTTTGCTAGAAATCGTTGGTTTGTAATTGTTTATTAGTAAATGGTTGGTTAGTAATAGTATGTATTAGATAAACAATAGTATAGTTAATCACTGGTTAGTAATGAACATATGTTATTATCGGGTGTTAACTATAGTTAATATGATGATTAAGGAACTGTTAGTTAGTAATATTTGTTCAGGAATAATAGTTAATCATCGATGGTTAGTCATGATCAATGGTTAGTAAAAGTTTGGTAGTAAAGGCAAGGAAACACCTGTAGTTGATTATACTTGAACATGTGTTTATAAATTCATCAGCAATTGCTGATTAATGATGGTGAAAGTGGTTCATACAAGGTGGTGCCCCATAGTTAGCTAAGTTGGTTTATAACTCCAATAACTATGGTTTATGGTAGATATATCTATACTAGTCCTATGGTTTATAAGCCAACGTTCACATCACTGGGGGGGTACCACCTTGTACTGATGATGAATGGTCAATGGTCGAAAATGATGCCGCCATGACTATCCGTAATCTGGATCCAGTAGCAGTAACGAACAAACGGTCAGAATTGTTTGTAGCGATTCATCAACAAGTACCATCTGGTTACGACTAACAGTTTGCCATGGAAAATTCCACCATTTTTAATGGTAAGCCCAGGTAAACCATCTATTTCTATGGGCCATCTACCATGGCTATGTTAGTCATAACCAGAGAGTAATTTAATGGCTACTTAGTACTAATTAATCCACGATGGTTCATTGCTGATCAATGATGGCGAGCCAAATATGAGGGATAGTGGTTAATAGTTCCTGGTTGGTGGTTTTAACCATCTTGAAAAATATGAAAGTCAACGGGAGGGATTATCCCATATATTATGGGAAAATAAAAATCATGTTTGAAACCACCAACCAGGTTAATACTGACTAGAAATGGTGTTTACTTTGTTCTTAATGAGTGATAATAGTGGTGAATTGGTTGATGAATAATCAGGGTTGGTTAGTGAAAACATGGTTAACTAGTGGCCTGAGTCTATTGATGGTTATATAATTAATAGTGAGTACTAAGAGTTAAATCATGTTAACTGCTGATTATAGTCATGGATATTGACTGTCTTTAGTGGTTAATGACTAATTGACATTGGGAATGTTGATGATGTTCATCAAAAGACAATTAATTGATGATGAATGTTAAATAGTGTGGATAACAATGTGGCATGACTAATTACTATTCCTCTGCAACATAATTGCACATGTTGATGGCACAGTATTATTTAGTTTTATTGTATAAACCTAAACCATGTGTTTGAAAAAACATCCACGTGTGTGATGCTAATGTTCAAGTTTACGATGGTCAAATACAATTTCTTGATGGTCAATCCAGTTGTTTGATGAGAAACTGTACATGTTTGATGACAAACTCACGAGTTGTGAATAGCCAAAATCACATATTTTGCATCAGAACTAGAACACAGTTTCTTAACTGGGTAAGTCAATGGGTAAATCATGAGAACTTGTTTTGACTTAACCACCATACGCGCAGATCATGATCTCAGTCGCACCCCAAATCATCCGGCCTCCATGTGTCCAGGGTTCGCGTTGGATCTCCCGTTGCTTTAGAAGTTCCTACGAAGTGAAGCACCAGTTGTATGGAAACCTACTTGGTGTACTTGATATAGATATATTTGATTTCATGGAGATAAACACCGGCAATAATGAATACGGTTTATCCAATTAACAAGGGGGATATGTGTGGGATATTACAAAAAAAAGGCGGGTCGTTTGGTTTCTTCATGAGGATTAACCCTTCGGCCATCAAACATGCCCGGCTGGAAAATCCATGTACCCTCTGGTAAACTAACAGAACTATGGACAATCACCATTTTCAATGGGTAAATCCCCTATGAATGGACATTTTCAATAGCTATGTTTGACAGAGGGTATGTACGTAATGTTTTTTTCGTGTTGGGAGGTGAATCAAAGCAGCAGTAAAAAGTCACGTTGAGGTCTTTACCGTTCAACACTCTGTAGACTTATTAGTAAAGGCTGGACCAAACCCATTGGTTGCTGCTAGACTGCCAACTTTAGTGCTAATCTGGGCCTCTCTAGTTGCACTTCTATGTTGCTTGTCTAGCTAGTAGTGGCTAGAGTTTCTCTGGCTATATGAAGTTGCCTATAAATATAGTGATGCATTGAATTTGGATCAACCATCATCATTTTGGCTATTCATAGTTATATGTTATTCAATGATGTTTCAGATGATTCATGAATATGAATAGATCATCCAAAGGTTTACCACCACATATCATTATTTTTGCCATTCATAGTTATAGAAACTATAATTCAGAAATTAAATATGTCTGGAACACTTCACTTTAGGCTGGTGGGAGTTCACTATTATAGTTGTTGTTCATAATATGCAGATGCCATTTTGCATTGCCAATCTTGGATACCCTGCACAAAATTAAATTCTTTGCTGGTTAGTAGATATTCCCATTGATACCAAAAGACTAAAGGATTAGTTGGTATCCATCTACCCTCTGGTGAACTAACAGTTCGCAATGGAAAATGGCCATAGAAATAGTGGATTTTCCCATGAAAAATGGTGATTTTCCCATTAAAAAAATGGTGATTTTCCCATTAAAAATGGTAATTATCCACCAAAGGAGACAGCGTCCACACTTTTTTACACGGTCCACAGGCCATCCCGCAGTCCAAGCGCTGGGCTGCTTGGCGTCGCATGCTTTCCTGTCGTCAGGCGATTCTGGCAATAAAGGAAAAGTCTGGAGAAATTCATGAGAATTCACTGAAATGAAAGAAGGACATTTCGGAATTGCATGGAATTTCGGGATAGTGACCCGTAAAATAACCATCCGAAAAACCATCATTACAGCTCTTTATGAACCAAAATGAAAAAACATGACCAAGTGGGAACCATGTTGGACTTTAATCTCCGCTGCTCTGAGCTGGCAATTAAAAAAAGTATCCATTCTCCACTCTCAGTTCACGCATTATATTCCCAATAAGGGTTCAAATCTGTCATTGACATGCTTAATTTCCGACTGTATCCAGAGGGGCCCCACATTTTACATGGATTTGTCAGAAAATAGGTCACCCCAAAATCTGAGACCAATCAACTTCAACCAACCCACCCTTTAACATTAAAGGGGAAATGCCAATCAGCCAAGGCTCGTAGTGCAAATCTCTCAGAGACTTCTTGGCCTCTTGCCGCTGACCTGGCACTGGCCACACGTTGAAATCATCTCAAGGCTTGAAGAAAAATGCCATCGAAACCACCAGCATCACCAACCAATATTGTCCTTTTGGTAAAACTAGAGGGGCCGGGAGCTGGTATACCATCTACGAGTATCATCATTTCCCTGTTGTTAAAGGGGTTTCTTCAAATCCCTCTTTTTTCATCAACCAACCAATGGACCAATGGGAAAAGGACATCTATGTCACCAACTAGCCAATGATAATCTATCACCCATGCCTTGGACCCTTGGACAGAGCCGGCTGGTTCACCAGCCGATGAACTAAGTGATCAACTGGGGGTTTACCCCGAAGCATGTCTTGAAAGACAATGGGTGTCAATGAAAATCACAAGTTAATCAAAGTTCCATAAAGTTCCAATATTTTTCTCATGGCACCGTGATATCCAAGATATGTTTTTTTTTTTACAGGAATATGCTGTACTAGTCCGGAATGAGCTTGGATTCCTATATATATAATAATATATATATATATATATATACCCTACAAGTCATGTGACATGGTTTAACCACGACGTTGTCGGAGATCAAGGTTTTACCTCGACGTTGGGTTTATGTCCAAAAACTGCATATTTATGTTTTGTTCAGGTGATGTCAAAATGAAGCCAAACGGTGTCAAATGCAAGCAAACACACCCTTGCGACCATACAGTTCTTTTTATCTTCTGCGCTTCACCTGCTCATTGAGTGACCGAGTTCGCCATCTTAGCATACTCAATCTCAAGTTCGCAGCGCGTAGCACAGCCTTCTCTAAGTGTACTCTCGGTGCCTTTCTGGCGATCATCTTGGCCCACTTCATTGCATCCTCATCGCTAAAGGCGTGGAAGAAACGGCCATTTACTCCTTAGTTAAAATAAACATTTGCCTTCAAGTTAGCAGTCACTCTGCACACAATGACACAGTGGATGACCATGCACACCATGCCAACCAGGCAGCAACATGTGCAGGCATGAATTTTGCAAAGTCTCTGAATCTACGCGTCTCACGTAGTAGATGGTTGAAGTTCTGAGTGTGCCAGCAGCACAAACATTTTTGATTATTGATCATGGTGAAAGCAGATGTATTTAAATCATGTGAGGAGGTCGGCTTTTTGGAATTAAGCGCACCACATGTATCTTCGGCTTGGCCAACCACTGAAGCACATTTCTCCTGCATACATCAAAAGAGGAATACAAGAAAAAAAATGACTGCATGCACAATGTGCATTGAGCTTAAGCTTTTGTACATGAAACAAATGTACAGAATGAACTGGGGATTGACGGACAGGGGAACAAAAGCAAATATACACACTGAAATCCGTCAGTCCTTGAACTAATTCTGGTGAGCTGCAAGTGTTGTCTCAGAAAAGTCATCCCAGATTCATACGCTTCTTGTGCTTCATCAACTGTCCTAAGTTTCACTGTGCAAGTTCTATGACTTGCTAAAAAGAACGTGTTGGAAGTTTGATTGAAATTTGATTCCAGTCCCAGCAGCAAAAACCTGGATGATCTTTCCGTCAGACCAAAATAACGGCAAATCGAATTCCTCGTGTCACTGGTGCCATCTCTTTGCCATCGGTAAAAAGTCGCACTAGAGAAAGGACATGGTTCATCCACATGCTACTGTTCATAAGGTGCCAGCAAAAAAATCAACTGCACTCTACCTGCACATTCACTTTGTAATTTTATAATGTTTAATTTTTTGATCATTTTTGAAGTCGATAAGGCAGCTTCAAATTGCACAAAACTGAGCAGGCGGATACATTTGCAGAACTACATTCTACTATTAAACTGCAGGAAGCAAAAATCTCACAGCATGCACACAGTCCGCTGATCCAAGCAGCACATGTAGCACTCCGGTATACCCATTCTGGTTGGTTTACAGCTTACTTGCTCCAAGGTATTTAACTTGCAATGGTTAAAACTGCCAAATTAAGTCCACATGGTGTAATTTAACCTAATGTTGTGCCAGGATACATCGCCAACTTCTGATGCAAGAGTCGTTCATCATTCAGAACAATTCCATTGTTGCGAATCCATCGGCCAAGAACTCGTTGAGAATCAGCAGGAGGGTAGTTGTTGGAATAAGCAGCATCTGAACAATCCGACAACCATTGCGCTATCACTCGTCCATTCCAAGCTTTGGCAGTCATGTACGCACCATGGCGACGTTTGAACACCTTGAGCATACATGGGAAAACAAAATATTGTTTATGTTCAGGCATTTGCAATAAGGTGTCACTTTTATGGACAAATGACTAAACCAAAGCATGTGCAAAGGACAAGTGGCTAGTCCAGGTGTGAATCGCCCTTGTCCAGGAAACACCTTGTTCTCCTTGCACCAGTGACGATAGTCCTCCCAGGCTTCCATCAAAAGCGGTTTCATTTGCAAAGAAGGGTCTCCAAAGCACCCAAGTTCCACCAACGTGCTCCTTGAGAAAACCCAAGCACACAGACCAGAAAATACAAATACACATTATTATCATACTAGTCGACCAGTCACCAGAAACCAGCATGGAAAAAGTACAAACAAAATCTTCCACGAAACAAGCTTGATCCGTTTGCTGTATAGAGAAGGCCAAGATTGACACAATGCATGGAGCATACTTTGATGCAAAAAATGTCGAAGTGTTTCAAGGCCAGCCAAGGGCCTGACTTGGAGATAACCATCAAGTTAAAAATTGTTCAACTTTATTTGGTCCCTGAACATTTTGTTCTATAGATCACTACTTCCCGGACGAATATGGTGCAAAAGAACATATGTACTGCCAGGATACATGGGACTTCAGGAAGCTCTTCATTAATGAATTCCACCGTGTCATACTCTGTGTTCGCCCAATCTGGATCGTCTCGCACATCAGTGTACAGGCAATCATTTCCAGATGATTTTGCACCACACTTGCAACACACATTGATACCAAGCCAATGGGCTGTATGTTGCCAAATTTTCCTGTGAAACTCTTGGTCGCCTCGAAACTCCGCAACGATAAAGCGTTCACCATTATCGAACAATGCTGGCGAATCGAATGCACGGTTCAGCGACTCAGTCATCTTCAGCAAAACTGGTCTCAGAGTCTGCGGTCCTGCAATCCAGTCAGATCGAATGTTGAAGATCAAGTATCTGCTGAGCCGAATATTTGCCGGTCTGTAGTGTATGACGTTCATAAAGATACACAATACCTTGAAGGGGTCAAACACGTTCTCTGAGATGTTCGCCTCGTCACCGTACAGACCGATCCTCAAATTGTGTGTCTAAACAAAGTCGTGGTTAAAAACCATGTCACATGACTTGTAGGGCAATGATAATCCTCTAATACCAAATTGACAAATTAGAATAAAACACATCCGGACAACAGCATGGGTAATAGTTGTTGCTAGGTAATTTTGATCCCCATATTTCCCTACACTCTACACACTCTCTTGGCTGACCATGAAGATGACTGAATGATCCACTGTCAGGGCGCCCTGTCCTTGATTCAAAAAAATGTGAAACGAAAGCATCTATAAATTAAATGTGCGAAGGTTCTTTATGATTGTTCATACATCAAGTTGCAGAAATGGTAGTAACCTTGTGGGTCCTAAGTAAGTTACAATGTGCATAACATGATATCATGTGCAACCTTCTACCTTCATGAATTCTTAAGCTGCTGCGCAGCTTTGTGAAGTAAACTTATTGACAGAAAACGTGTAGTTGGCAAAGGCTTTTGAGTTGAGGCATGAGACAGGCACCCTTGGAGGCTTAAGTAAACCCAGCAATATATGATTTAACATTAGTCTCTTGAAATATTACTGGTGTTCTGGTATATGTATTTCAAACACATGTAGGACCATGTAAGGGTGGATGAAACAAAACCAAGATTCGGAATTAAGGTCTCATCATTGACCCGAGTAGCCCAGGCATTTCCAACAGACTTCAAATGGCACCAGTAATTTCTGATCCATTCTGGAGGGATTTTCAAACCGACCTTGACCAAGTGCTGTAAAATTTGATGTGGCAGAAACATCGGTAAGGATCTTGTGATCGTTGATCCATCATCTTTGGGTGAAAGCACTTCGCAGTCAACCTTGACAGTTTCCTCCAGGGTTTGCTGATGGTTTGCTTTTTGGAGAAACGTGAGAATTGTCCTCCCAAACAAATGTCACATGCTATTCTTTGTGACTATGTTTTTTTGGGTAAACAAACCATGTATGCCACATGCTATTCTTTGTGACATGTTTTGACTATTTTCTTTTTGCCACATGATAAAATATGGTGACGGGAAACAATCGAAAATGTTTGTTGCATAGCTATACCCAGAGGATCCATGTATGGAATATTTACCTACATTGACCCCTAAAGTAATTTAAAATAACCCCAATGTAGGTAAATATTCCATACATGGATCCTTAGGGATATATATTTAATCCATAAAGTGTTGCCGGTACTTGTTCTCTGATCTTGATACCGAAACCTTAGTGTCATCTGGTGGTACTGTATACTTTAGATGGAAAACAAAAAACATGGCTGAAAGACTCTGTCGTTGGACTCCCGACCAATGTCCAGCGGCAACTTGACATTCTGACAGAAATCGCGCGCAGCATTGAAGCGTGAATAGGTTCCAAGCTTGCGAGACATAGGTTTCATGCCAGCTCCACCAGACTCCTGGCAGAAGCAGGTCAAGTGCAATCCATTCAAATCTAGGTTGTCACGATGATCTAGTTCTCAACTAAAACGACAAAACACATGTTAGCTAAGCAGTGCGTGTTTGGCTTTCAAACAAGTTTTTAAGTTCCTGCAGCCATGATATCTGAACATCTTCCCTCAGCCATGGTTGGCCTCCACCTGGTTGGAGAAGGTCTTCATGACTGAAGCGAAGGTGCTCGCCTCGCAGCTGCTTGGCAGGATATGGATTGTGTTGCCCTAATGCAACGCCCTATTGGTTGAGAAATTACCATATGGTCATGGAGTTGAATGTGAGAGATTCTCATCAAGAGAAAAATTCTAGGACTCGGAGTTTCTGGGAGGCAGCATAGATTTGGCATCATGCATTGCTGATGTGTTTTTTATCTAACCTTTTATGTTTGCGGTGGTTGATGATGCTATTATGGGATCCAGCAGTTTGCAAACGATGAGAAACAAGCAAATGATTCTGCCAGCAAGGCACACCCGAAGACAATTTATCCACGGCATCCCTGATGGTAGCCGCATTCGCAGCATCGTCTAGTGCATTGTTGTCATCACCTGCGTGGATCCGCTAATCTATGGTTGCAATGTATACATTGCCAAAAGGGTGTCATCATGGGATATGTTGCTTGCAAATGTTTGCAATCCACCATCTTTTGTCGCAGCGCCACAAGTGATCCAGCTCCATCCAAGACAGGGCTATCGATATCAAGTGTGTGGCCTGTGCAACCACACAACAACTGAGCAACGTTGGCCCACAGTGTAAGAAGGCTTCCCTTCATGTTTACAAAATATGGTCCTTCTGTGCATACAGACGAACACTGGGCTTCCAGAAAAATAAAATTTGATTATAGTATATGCATGTTTTTTCTATGTTGGGATCCCTTATGATTGTCGGCTAGTGGAACTTCTGCAGTATTCGTCAGCGTTGCACATTGCACGAAGAGCTAAGCACGCATACTCTGTGGCCAATGGCCCATCCCCCCTTCATATCTGGCTCCAAGGTACTTTGAGGACTAGCATGGCCAAAGACATAACAAATCATCAACTGTTCATGGATGTTCATGGTATAAACGATGCATTCACTGGTAGATTATGACGGAGTTCAGAAAAGTTCATCCACTAATGTTCAACTTTTGGCGCATCATCGTTCCATGGGTTTCCCCTTTGCCAGATATCCCCATAGATTAAATCATTCAACTCATGACATTTACTTTGCTGCTTTCAGCTTCTTGACAGGGCCCATCACTTTGTCAAGCTCATCCAATTGCCTTTTCAGATGTGTCGTTGCTTCGGGAATCTCAAGCACCTGCCAAGGCATCAATCGAGAAGGAAATGTGGAACAGACTGGAAGAGAAAATTGTTGCTTGGAGCACAGGTAAAACTTGCAGAGTGGGGTACTAATCGTTACAAACAATATTAATTTATATATTCCTCATCACATTTTCACAATCCACAGGTTCAGAACAATGACTAGAGCACGGAAACCCCATACCTTGGATTCATCCATCTTGGATCGAAGAGAATCTCGCGCAGTTGTCACATCTGTCAGCTTCGATTCCACATCAACCTCCACAGCTTTCCGATAGTTCTGGGACCTAGGCAATGGATCGAGGAAGCACACATGCATGTGTTGCTAAATAAACTGTTGATGGCATGTAGGGAGAACATGTTGAAATGCAAGGATTGATATTATATATAATTATATATACGTTGATAGGTGGTTCAATTCAATAGTGACACAGTGACACGCACATATCAAGCTGAGATTAACACAGCGATTCCAGCTTCGGCACCAAGCTCTTCCATTGGGCCAGCTTCGTGGATACCTGTCCAATCACCTGAGATCACATGCCGGAAATAATTGGGAATCTCTATGCTATATGAATCTCTTATATGGTCTGTTTGTTAACATCTTCAAACACAAACTCATTATTGGCTGCGCTGTAGACAAGTTTAAAGTTGAGACATATTCTAAAATCAGAAAGCTAAGGCACCTTGTTTGCCTCAGAAGATTCCTTTCGTTCTTTCTCCTTTGCTTCACGTGCATCCTTCTGCTCCTGGGTCTCCTCAGGTTTTTCCTTTTTGGCCTTTGTCTGTTTGTCCTTCTTTCCCTTTCGAGGCTTCTTGCCTGTAAATAGCTGCACATGGTGGAAACACCAGTGTGCAAATCATGGCGGTTTTCATCAGGACTATGTGCCCATGACCCAGGTGAGATGATAAAACATTATCACGTAGCTACATTGGTTACACTCAGATAAGGCAACAATATGTCCAAACACTTGTCCAGTGCACTTTTTTGCTAGCCTGTATTCTTCTTATCCTTATCCTTCTTGTCGCTCTTCTTGCCTTTACTTTTTTTCTTCTTTTTGGCCTGCAACATGGTCCCTAGTATATGAACTTGTCGTGGTAATGGTGAATTCCATTGTCTTCTATTGTCTCCTAGCCTTCTTGTCCGACGATGAGCTGCTGCTGCTGCTGCTTGACGAGCTGTCTTCATCCACCGCATCGAACAGAAATTTTACTTCTGATTCTTCACTGTCCATTTCAGACTCTTCATCCAGGCATTTGTATTGCCTCATCTCCTGCACAAGTGATGCAGCAGTCACACTGGTATGGAGAGTAAAAACCAGTTGACTGTGCCACAAAGATGTCCTAGAATTCGGCTTATGTTGACATCATGATTGTGAGACACTAACAGTCTGCACAAAAATTGAGCACATGTTGAATTTGAAATTGACATTTGTGAATAAAGCATGCTTCCCTGTAACCAAGACAGGTCACCAGAAGCAGACCCATTCCAATGCCCGGGCCTCGACACCTGGACAGTCTGGGTGGTCACGGCATTCAGTTTCCTTTAGGTCCTTGTCACCTTCTTTTCTTTGTATCATCGCTTCCGTAGCAGCTTCACCGAAACGGCTGATCATCTCCGACTTCAGGAACCACTTTCTTTTGCCCATCTTCTTGTTGCTACGTGACTCAGTGGCCTGAATGTAGAGCTTAGATTTTTTCCAGTCACCAGAGGCCGACAACCAGGACTCAAAAAGGACAGAGTGTAGGTGAGAACCTTAGCTGAACTCAAGGCAACCCAGGATCATGTTTGGTGCAATTTCTTTCGATTCAAAGACCATCAATTGGATACCGTGTTATCTGCCTATCGGCCCATTACCATTTCACATCCAACACCATCCAAATGATAGCTCGGATGTAAAATTAAATATCGGACCATTATCATTTCACATCCAACACCATCCAAATGATAGCTCGGATGTAAAATTAAATATCGGACCATTATCATTTCACATCCAACACCATCCAAATGATAGCTCGGATGTAAAATTAAATATCGGACCATTATCATTTCACATCCAACACCATCCAAATGATAGCTCGGATGTAAAATACACCAAAGACCATGAGCTTACTAATCCATGCCAATGTCGGATGTGACATTCTACATAGCATATTCATCAAATCAAATATCATTGTCGCATCCAACTGATTGTTTGGATGTGAAATGCATGTGGGCTGACACCAATGACTAACTAATGAAGTTTTCACATCCGACTGATTCCATGTTAGAAACTATACCGCCCATTTTTCATCTAATTGAACGGTCTTTGAAAGAATAATTATAGGACAAATCATGGACTCTGAATGACTCGAAATGTCCCTAGAATGATAATTTTGTGAGCAAGGCAATGGAAATTAACATATTTGAGGAAAATAGATGCAAGTTCCGAGAATGACGATGCAGCTAAGTAATTAATTTCCATTGCCATGTGTTGTGAGCAAGGCAATGGAAATTAACATATATATTTTTTGATGACTATAGATGCATGTCCCTAGAATAATGAGGCAGCAAAGTAATGAATTTCCATTGCTATGCTTTGCGAGCAAGGCAATGGAAATTAACATATTTGAGGAAAATAGATGCAAGTTCCGAGAATGACGATGCAGCTAAGTAATTAATTTCCATTGCCATGTGTTGTGAGCAAGGCAATGGAAATTAACATATTATTTAAGGAATGTAGGTGCAATAAGCTATTTTTACATTCGAAGAGTCACATGCGATATGCCGCTGACTACTCAGCAGTGTTATTTTATTTTATTTTATCATGGTGGCATGAAGACATGTCAGTGGAAATGGTTCTACAAGTATGTAGATGGCCAGGGTCACAAAAACTCAAAAATATTCATGATACACACAACACTTCCACTGCCATGTCTGTTAACATTGTCCACCTCAAAAGGTTCTCCATGAAGACCAACGTGCACTGGAACATGAAGTGTCGTTGACTATTATACTGAAATCGTTCTGATTGTTATTTTAGTAATAACAATCTACGGAATGAATATTAAACGTATCATTGCAAGGGATGAGTTGAACAATCTTAATGATGCATTTTGTTGCAACAGGTCAATTTTACGTTTGGGGTTTTGCACGAAGCCACATCCGTGGGCTCGACGGCCCATCTTCTGAATCTCTTCAGGAGTCTTCGGGCCTCAAGGCTGTGAACATGTAAAGAGTTTTTGACCAACTGTCCAACCAAGGTTCAATGTGTTTGGCGAGCTGACGGTACACGTTTGAGGCTTGGGCTGGACAGAGTGCGATGGTACTTCATGTAGAGTGCATGCTTTTTCTTGTATTCTTCGCTTCGTTGCTTGGGAACCTTCAGGGGTAGTTCCAAAATAAAGAATTACTTGATCAGGTTTTATCATATATGTCTTTGTTCATACAAAATGTGTATAACTCATTCAAGGAGATAGTTGCTTCACATTTGAAGTCAGACTAGTCTATACAGTAGTGCTGGTCCATGTCAGTCACTCGAGTCATACCCTTCACCCTCTGCGGCCTTCTTGTCATCATTCTTTGCTTCCACGGCATTACCATCAGGAGTTTCTGAGGGCGCACCGGTGTCACCATTCGATGAACTGGGTGCGGTTCCAACATCGGATCCATCATGGTGTTCCTGGTTCATCTCATCACCTGGAGTTCCATTGGGAGAAGCTGCTGGGGCAGGGACTGACGAGCTCGGTGAGGTTGCATCATCCAATCTGACAGGCTTTTCATGTTTCTTCTCATCATTCTTCTTCTCATCATTCTTCTTATCATTCTTCTTATCATTCTTCTTCTCATCATTCTTCTTCACATGTTCAAGGTCCGGCGTGTTGAGCCTGTTCAATGACATGTGCAACGCGGAGACGCTGGTCAACTGCGAAAACCCGCTGACCCCACTCTCGACAGAGTTCGACCTGCGCACTGTGTTCCCTCCCTCTGTTCCATGGTAGTTGTCCCATTGGCCCCAGGAACCATAGTAGCCATATCCATAGTCCCAAGAGCTCTTCCACGATCCACCCCAGCTATCGTAAGGCCAATACCCATAGTATGACCAATCATCTTGCTTCCAGGCGGACTGATTGTCTTCCTCAGGAACACGATCTTCAGCGTCAGGTGCAGCGGGCTCATGGGTAACTGGCTCACCTGCTATAACATCATTGCAAACATCACCTGGTTCATATTGCTGCGTTTCCTCAGTATCCCCAGGCCCAACTCCAGTCTCACCTCCTTCTTGGAAACTTTCTTCTTCTGGAAATTTCTGACGGTCATCGAAGTGCTGGTCCATGAAATCTTCCAGTTCTGGTTCCAGGTCGATCACGTGTGGTTTCTCCTCCACATCAACCTGTGTCGCTGGGAGTGAATCCACGTTTTCCTTCTCATTCTTTTCAGCCATGGACAGGCGAGAAGCATCAGCTTCAGCAGAGGCTTGGGCATAGTGATCCATGGCATCCTCTGGTGTGTTGGGGTGTTCTCGAACAGTATCATCCCCAAAGTCAGCAGCTGGTGTAGTATAGGCTTCGTGGTTTCCATCAGGAGCAACAGTGGCACCACTTATCTTCTTCTTCTTGCGGACAATAGTCTTGATGACCTTTCGTTTCTTCACTTTTTCTTCACCTGCCAGTTCAGGCAGATTGGGTGTAGTATAGCAAAGTAAGTTATTTTACTGGAAAAACAAGAATCGTATTATTGAGTTCAATCTTTTCTCAACAATGATCAGACTAGAAGAATTCTACGGTGTTTGATTGCTAAATTGCCCATGTGTGGCACACAGCAAATCATGTGTGGAGCCAGACATTCCGACCAAAAACGCATAGGACCTCCAGTTCGGGGAACAGCTGATGCTTCGAGTGCAGAAGACCTTGGGTGGATGTTAAAAAGAAGAAAGTCGAGAAGGCATTATTTAGACAAAAGAGCATGGGGTTAAATTTGGATATCCAAGTCGTTGAACAAGAAATATATTAAACAATGAATTCCAAATTGTGGTCCTGTTTGACCCATAACCATATTGATTTCCATAGTCGGTTTCATGTGACATGGTCTTACAGCATGCAAGAGGCAAATAATGAGAGCTGAGACATTGACAAAGCCGGTTCTTTGGACGTGCGAGCAGGTGTTGGAAGCGGCTGCTTCTCAGTTGAATCTTTTTCCCCCATGATTGCAGAAGCACACAGCCACTGTGAACAGCCAAAATGGGCTAGTCGGCTAGGTACTTCCATCCATGAATGCCAGGTGATCAATTTGAGACAGCCACAAGAAGATGCAAACGTGGCTGAGGCTCGGAGAATGTGACATGGTTGTCAATTTTCTGGATCAAGCAATGTTTATTAGATCAAGTAATTATACTTTCCACTGAAATCACAATGAAAAGCCACTATGATACCTTTTTTCACCAGCGCAAGTTGCCCCCATCTTCTCTGAATTTCAGGGAATGGTGGTAAATTCGGGTGACTTGCTCATTTCTTTGTTGTATTTCATGCCTTTGTCCTGTCTGTCCAACACAAAATGTGCCTACAATGGTGTTTATTATTGTCCCTGTGGTGCTCACGGTTTGCTCACGGTTTGCTCACGGTTTGCTCACGGTTTTTCCACGTCCTGAATAAGTAAATCCATGTCTTTTAGGGGGGTGCTCACGGTTTGCTCACGGTTTGCTCACGGTTTGCTCACGGTTTGCTCATGGCCATGTTCTGTTATCAAGAACAACGGATTTCAACATATTCTAATAGAAATATAGAATTCCATGTGTACAACCATCAACAATTCTGCTTTCACGATGTTTGGTCGGTGCAGTCGCCACCACCATTCAACTAGAATGCTTACAAGATCGACTATTTTAGTCAAATTAGGCCTTGTGCCTTACGACGGTTGAGAAAAGTCTGAACCTGGTCGAAATCTGCAGGTGCCCAAGCATCAGAAGTCTTCACCTCAATACAGAGAGGACTGTTTGCACACTTTGCTCACTGTTCTGAGCACTCCGGTTGATTAAGATTGGCAGAAAACTGAGTATTGAACCTTCCAGTGGCGTTTCAAGATTCGTTGCAAACTGTGCTGCACGTAGTTCTTCAGAAAGAATCTTTTGGGGCCATCCTTAAATTCGATCAACTTTGCATATTTGAACTTATGAACCATGACAATCATGACAACCATTGATGGTGGTGCATCATGCTGGAAATCCTCAAGTTGACTCCAAGTTTCCATGTAAGATTTGTGCAGCTTGAACAACCTTGCAGCGTAACCCTCTGGGTATTGAGCCGAATCTTTCATCCGGGGTCCACCTGTCCTTAGCTGTTATTAAATCTGATGTTCAAGGGGAAACACCACTTGACTATTAGCTTCACTGAACTTGACTGAGACGGCCACACTTGCCGTTTGCCATTGGACTTGTTGATGCTCCGACGCACCATGCCGGTGCTGCTCAATTTTGCACGACGTTTCTTGCTCAACTTTCGGTACAATCTCCCCAATTGAGGCCTAAGTGGTAATTGTAATGAATTACTTACATGACATCACTGGTTCATTAATACATGTAGCAATGTCTCACAATCTTGATTATCGTGTAGCTTCTCCAAACAAAGGTCATTCCGTTACCTGGGCATACGGCTGAATTCCCCATGCCGCACTCGGCTTTGCACTTCTGGATCCCCACGATCCCATCCAACTGGGCAAGGAGTGGCAGAGTTCTTGGATGATGGTCAAATAAAAACCGATCTGCCAAACACTTAGTTGCAGGCTAGTGACAAGAATTGGCGGGAGTAGCAAGGCATGACAAATCCAGTAATCATACGATTTACGTGCACCATCGTTGGAAAGAAACGAGCCGTTGAAGTGAAGGGCTGCTCCAAGACCCAATAACATCCTCTGACTGTGGCCACCAAGGCCAAGCAAAGAGCTCTGGCCATGAGCCTCGATGATGTTCAAAACAGTCTGACACTTAGGAATCCCCAAACTATTTTTTTCAGAACTCTTGCTCTTGTGACTTGCCGGAATTATTTTGTGACACACCGTTCATGCAGAACAACTTTAGTCCAAGAAACACATTGCCCAAGACGACATGTGGCAAGTCAACATTTCCCAGTGGCCGAAGCACAGTTCTAAGACTCGTCGCCAAATTACACCATACAAATGAGCCGCAAGGCGGCCCCAGAGACAATAAGGCTCCAGGGCGCAATCTTAGGACCAGTCGTAGCGCCAAAGCAAAACCTAACCTAATTTGGAACAAACATATAATGTTTCGCTAAAGTTCAGGACCACAGCAGAATCCAAACTGCAAAGACATCTAGATCTAATGAATCTCATGCAATTCTGACTTTCATAGCCAAGTTCAGGACGCCGTAGACAGATCACAGTGGGAACCATCCTCCACGTCATAATGTTGCCTGACCACCAAATCATTATTATTACGCATGTTTTGATCCCCTTTCAACAGACGTTGAGCAAGTTGACATTAAGCACTCGACGCTTTGTATCCGCGAGAACCTGTTGTCCAAAGGAAATATAGTACAGTAAAGTAATAATCAAGTATCATCACACATTGACAAGTGTGTATTGTACTGCATGCATATATGACAAAGTCTGAGAAGCACAATGATCTCCAGTAGCGATATTGTAAGATCCAGGCTCCAGTAGTGGTATATTGCGCGTTTTCCCGAGAACATATCGAGACACCACAGATCCTGACAGGCTTCAACAAGAATGTGCAAATTGTGTGGTAACTTCTCACACCGTAGCATATTACCTGAGCAGCAAACTCGTTGGTCATGTGGTGACTCTGCAGGTGTCAGTTCAACCACAGCATCACAAAGTGAGATCCTCAGCACCACAGCGTTCATACTAGTCGAATTGAACTTATGACTGCAACATACAACCCATACACGATATATGTTCGATTGACATACTTCCGTTCGAAACACCAACTTCTGAGACACAAGCAGTGCGGTGGGAAGTCCAAAGGCCAATAACAAAATGACATTGGAGCGAGACAGGGAAAGAGGCGAGTTTCGTCGCCCCATGTGAAAAAAAAAACGAGGTGCTTTCCTGCGTCGCTACGTCGAACCAGGCCAGCTTTCAAATGGGCATTATGATTTGCATGGTTGCAAGTATGCAATTTCTTGCCATGTCACTACTCCATTACCTGAATGTTCAGTTTCTTGATTTTTTTTTAACTCGAACAAAGCAAAAACTCCACACGATCGCACATCGTGATCTCAAAGCTGGGCGATATAGCATATCAGAAACTCTTCTGAAGCAAATGGCATGGACATCAATGGATTACAAAAGGCTGCTTGTGCATGTTGATATGACGTCCCTAGGTTATATTTGTTTCACTCAACAGAGACGCCAGCTTTGCGAGGCAAGCGCTTCTGGCTTTTCAGGATTTCAAGAAGGCCTTCATCCAGGCCCTCAGTTGACCATTGGGCCAAATACCTGGCGACTTTCCACCTCAGCAGAATCAGAAATGAAAGCAGCATTCGATAATGAAATTAATGCAGTTGCCACAACGAAAAATCAAGTTGAAATCAGCACATGTTGCATCTATGGCATCAAAAATGGTCCAAACCACCAACCAGTATAGATCTATATTTGTGTGTGTGTCTTATGTGGTACTTATATATTGTTTTGCTCGAGACTGCCCCCCGCAATGACCGATGGGAGTGATGGGGAGCCTAATAGGCCTCCTGTGGTGCCCAAAGGGCATCCGGTGAACACATGGCCTTTCCCATTGCCTGCGATGCCTGCTCAACCTTTTCCGATGAACCCATTGCCTCCTCCGCCTGCTCTCACGACCCCGTTGCCTCCGATGCCTACTCTGATGACCCCATTGCCTAGGATGCCCGTGATGACACCATTTCCTCCGATGCCTGCTGGACCTGCAAGCCAATGGCACTTCCCGAGTTCTGCCTTCAACCCAGTGTTTGGACTCTTTACTGGTGGTGGACTTGACCCTGGTGTTGCCGAACCCGAGCCTGAGTTGGAGGTTATAGAACAAGATGATGATGGACGAGGTGATGTGGATGACAAGTCATGGAATGACGCGTCATGGAATGATGAGTCATGGAATGACGAGTCATGGAATGATGAGTCATGGAATGACGAGTCATGGAATGATAAGTCATGGAATGACAAGTCATGGAATGACGAGTCATGGAACGATGAGTCATGGAACGATGAGTCATGGAATGATGAGTCCTGGAATGATGAGTCATGGATGGTTGACAAATCCTGGGTCCTCAATAGTTACTGGCACGATGACGATTGGGCAAAGTGGAAAATTGAGGAGACAGATGAAGATGATTGGGGAAAGTGGAAGGCTCAGGAGATTCAGGATATCTCTGATGAAGAAGAGATTGAGGTGGAATCAAAGAAACCGGTTATCTTGCAGATCAAGCCAAAAAAGAGACCTTCACCGCCTACAATCCAACCTCCGGCCCATTTGGTGGAGACCCATGCCAAGTCCGTCCCCGAGATGATGCAAGATCAACTACCACCAGAACCTCCTACTGCAGTAGTGCCGCCTCCGAAAAAAAGGAAAGCAACTATGGGAGTTGGTGATGCACTACCTCCAGGGCGAATTGAACCAGAGCCAAGAGTGCCCCGAACGATTCCACCCCGGGTCTCCTCTTGCTCATGGATGGAGACTGACGGTGCCACAGAAGTAAGGGCCACATGGTCTGTGCGTCGCTTTGGTGACAGGGACAGGGAGATAGAGGAGCAGGAAAAAGAGCAAGGCAATGAGACAATGTGAGATGACAGAGAGCCAGTACAATGTGCAGAAGTAATGGAAATGAACCGATTCTGTGCCAATGATGTGCAGTCTTGAACGCGGGTCAAAAAGAGTACGAGTTTGCTGCCCAAGATCCATGTGTCCATGATCCATGCATGGGGAATGATAATCCCAATTGAATAGTATTTTTCAGAGGGGGTGAAACCACCAATCAGTATAGACCATATCACCACATGAATCTCTGGACAATGCTGCTTTCAGTATAAAACTGGTTTTTGAATTTAGGCTTCTTGAGGACACGACGCATCAGCGATCGAAGGAAATTTGCTCCATGTCAACGTAAGACCCCCTTTCCTGTTTGCCTGCAAAATCCAGCATAACAGAGTAAATTGTGAAGTTGCAAAACATAAACATACATTGCACACATTGCACAGCAACAACAAAAACACCTCCGTTCCACATGACGTTGCAGTCTCTTCATTCAGTTGGGACACGTAAAAGGACCCCACCAGCCTAAGAGTTTGCAGTTAAAATACAAATGACATGCATGCATCTATAAACACATGTTCAACAACATCAGAGGACAACGTTGATGGGTAATGAATCTTTGCATTTCAATCAACAAGTCATTGAGGATCCGGCAAAACTTGTATCGGAGATGCACCATCATCGGTGTCATCTGGTGGTCGAAGAGTCCATGACCTCTTTCTTGCAAGATAGCCGTAATTATATAATAGGCTTGCAGGCAAGCCAATCCCCAGCTCTTCATGTGACAAATCAAACGAATGATAAACTTGATTTGATGCAATATTGTCTTCAACTTCAAAGCTAGGTTTCCAACTGCTGTTTCGGGGCAAGATCTGGAATCTCAAAACCTGAGAGATCTGAAGCAACCTCTGTGATCCTGGCCAGGTTGGAATCCCGCACCTGATCACACAGAGAGCAGGGAAGCCAAATGGAACAGATGGGGGAGAAGACGTCATGACATACTGACGGGCCTTGTGAGCATATCGCAGTGCAGTTGGCTCCTGCAACCAAAAAAGGGTGGCGAAGAGCCACCTATAAAAATCGCAATCTTGATGGATGACATGTCCTTTCTGGGCTTATTGGGCTTCTTTTCCTGGCATGTAGAAAACAGCTTTCACACCAACATCGAACATGCACTGTTTCGTACGTTCTGTCCTGCTCTCCATCCGGCTTGGGCAACTCTGGATCCTGACACAATTACATCAGTTCAGACAATATTATAATTATAGTATATCCAACATTTCAAACAATGGGTCGCATCAGTATCAAACATTTTTGTGAACAAGTGATTTTGCGACATGGACGCAATGCTTCTCATTTATGTCTTGATCATTGCTTTCCATTATAAACATGTCATAACTGAGCCTTCGAATCAGTTGGCATGTCGCCTTTAGATTCATTGCTCTCCTGCGCACATTTTGACAGCATTTTTTTCGTTTTGGACTGGTATAGGTTTCCCACCCTAAGTCTCAAAAATTGTTGAACAAGTCATGCAATCAGTTGAATAGTCCTTTTCATCTGAATCAGATTCTTTCTCTTCAACTTCATCCTGGCAGAAAGACCCAGGATCACTTAGGACCGTTGACAGAATGATTGAAGAGTTCCAGGAGATTGCGCCTTGTTGCCACCATCAGAATTCTTCTTGTCCTTTGAGCTCTGCTGTGACAGTACAGATTCATAAGTTCTAACTTTTTAAAGCTCTTGCAACATCAAACATAATCATAAGTCCTCCTTCAACTTCTGTTTCTTCTTGCCACTACTTTCTGCTTCCTTACAGCCAGAGAATATGATTGCAAACAATGCACTTGACAACACAACTTTTGAAGTGACCTGTCTTACCGACAATTTCCGTTTCCAAAGGTTAGACGAGAATCTTTCCCATGCTGACGTTTCTTTCTTCCTCGACCACGGCCCCTTCCCTTACCTCTTCCAGGTCGAGAAGTGCCCGTGTTGAGATCAGCATGATCAGCATCACGGATCTCCTGATCCTCAGCCTCGAGCTCATCGGGAGTGGGACCATCGCCATCCTGAGTAGACTTCTTCCCTTTACCTTTTCCTTTGGCAGTGCGTTTCTTGAATCTCATGTCTTCAACTGATACATCTCCTTGCTCATCATCCCTCAGGGCTGCTCTCATCTTTTTCTGTGCCTGACTGAACAAATTGCTGACTATCAATACCATGCTATCACTTGGATACCATGCTATCTGCTTATTGAACCACTATTATTTCACATCCAACACCATCCAGGTGATGGCTCGGATGTGAAATTATTGAACTACTATCTTTTCACATCCAACACCATCCAGGTGATGGCTCGGATGTGAAATTATTGAACCACTATCTTTTCACATCCAACACCATCCAGGTGATGGCTCGGATGTGAAATACATCAATTTAAAGAATAGTAATCAAATCTTCTATTTACTCATACTAATGTTATATTCAATAGACCGTTCAGATGTGAAATGCCCCATAACCTATTCGTTATCACATTTCACATCCAACTGGTCGTTTGGATGTGAAATACATTAGAGCTAACACAAATCAAGGACCAATGTAATGAAAATTTCACATCCGACCGGCTCCATTAATATAATTAATATATCAATTCATATGCTCTAATCTAATATGCTCATTAGATGCAGTGAATGATACATAAAGAACACAACCATCAATATAAGCAGCCTGTAGGACATCTTCGGCATTCTGCGTTCCACGTTCCTGAGAACTGGCAAGGTCCAAGGCAGCTGTAGAAGCCAATCTCATCAGGGATGGCTCAGGCTTAGGTGGAACAGGTAAACCTGGCTTTCGATCCTGCCAGAAATTCGCATGTTGATAGCATCATTGATATGTGGTAACATGTGCAAACCAAATTAGGCATTGGTCCTGAAACGCCCCCTTCTTGTCCATGTTTGAGTCGGAAAAGAGGTTTGGAATCTCCAGTTCCATTGGCTCAGGTTCATCAGCTGCAGCAGAGCTTGAGGCCACGGGTTCTTCTTCAGGAAGCACCTGATTTCAGCTGGAATCTGGTTCTAATATGATTCGAATCCATATATCATGTACATACAATAACTTTGAGGTGATGTTGCATCATGTTGCATCAATATTGTCGCAGCAAAAACATCATTTGTTTGTAGCATTCAACTACATGTTGACCCACTTGCAGTAATTTAATGTAATGACATGGAACATTGTCAGACTCCTCTTGTAAACCAATTAATTTTCCCTATTGAGAAAGTACTACAGTAGATGGTCATGAAGTTGAATGTGCCAGGTTTTCATCAAGATATTATTCTAATTGCATGGCTCTAAGTTGCTGGCAGGTTGAGGTTTCTCAGGGCGAAGATCAACCTAATTTGGAAGTATTTCACATAGCAAACCCAAGTCATGAGTTTATGAGGAGCAGACTTCCATATCGTCTTCAAACTCCGATTCCTCTTCCTCCTCTTCGATGATCTGCACAGATTCTTCGTCAGATGCATCCTGACCTGCCGTAAAGAAACAATCCTCATCAATTTCTTAAAGCACTTTAAATGAACAGGTCTCATGCACGATGTTGCTGCTGATGAGTCCTGCCTTTGGCATCTTCAGGTGTCTTCTTCGGAGAAACCTTCATGAAGGTGCGACTGGTCTTTCGCTTGACGATTCCATGCACCTGACACGATAGATCACGATCAGCAAATGTTGTTGCCGATCCCTAAGGATCCATGTATGGAATATTTACCTACATTGGGATTATTTTAAATTACTTTAGGGGTCAATGTAGGTAAATATTCCATACATGGATCCTATGGGGATGATTTGCATGTTTCAATGCACTCTTCGAAATGATTGAAACCTCGAACTGCTTCTTCACAACGTCCTTCAGAATTTGCAGTCTTGGATGCCTGATGTTGAGAACTATCAATGAATGAATTGCAGTGTCGGCTCAGTGCTGAACAATGAACACAATGTGGACAGAACATGTGAGCCGTGGTCAATACTCACTATTTGGTTGATGGTCATCCCATCCATAATAAGGATCCTTATAATGGTTAGTATAAATCCCTATGAACCATTGGATGACTAGCCCCTATTGATTGTTATTAACCATGAGTATTGACCATAGCTCATGTGGACAGAACATGTGGACAGAACATGTTATCGGCAAAACATTACTGCAATTAGTATTCACATCATTTGTCAAATGCTGAGACAATGTGGTGATACATATTTTCACACTAAGCAGTTGTGCAAACGATAATGCCATCACCCGATGGATTGAACACCTGGACAAAACAATCACTCGTGCCATCACCCGACGATGGATTGTGCGTTTGAGGAGACCTTGCACAAAATCAGGGACGTCACACAAAGTGCCCTGGAACGTGCAGAAGCATCTGCGAAATTGGTTGAGCGGCTTGAGGAAGAGACAAAGAAGTTGAAGGAGCTCACCGATAGCTTCAATGAGAAGCGCATGCAGGATGAGAAGGAAATGGAGGAGATCAGACTCAGGATGGAGCTCGAGGACAAGGAGAAGGAGAAGAAGCGAAGATTGGAGGAGTCTGAAGCCTTGGCAGCCGAAGCTGATGATGCCTTGGCAGCCTTCATGCTGGAACAGTATGGGAAAGTGAAAATTTTCCTTGGTGACTCTTTCTATTGGGGGTATCCTCCACGACCTGCAGTGGCACCGGTGTGTTCACCGACTTCGCCGGCAGAAACATCACTTGCGAGTTGTCACGAGTCTGACGAGGAAAGGGTGCTACGTCTGGCGAACTGGCCGTTGGATCACCCAAGTCCAAGTGATGGACCAATAGCGCCAGTGGGCGAGAGAATCGACGCTGCCATCAAGGAGATTCGTGAGGACAGAAAGTTCCACAGGAAGAGAGGTTGGCCTCCCCTGTAGCAGAGAGAGAATCGACGCTGACACCAAGGAGATTCAGAAGGACAGAAAGTTCCGCTGACACCAAGGAGTTTCAGAAGGACAGAAAGTTCCGTAGCAGAGAGAGAATCGACGCTGCCACCAAGGAGATTCAGAAGGACAGAAAGTTCCACAGGAAGAGGGGTTGGCATTCCCAGTAGAAGATAGTCGAAACATGCTTGCAGTGGTAACACAGAGATCAGTATCATCACATAGGCATCTGGGCCCCCATTAAACAGTCTAACTTGCGAAACAAAACAAAGCATTAAAGATAAAGATCAATAAATTACCACTGCAGGTGTGAGCACAGTGCACAGGTCACTCCGAAGCGAGCGGACAAAAAGAGTGATACCAGCGTTACCAGGAAGTTGTCAGTAAATAAACCCAGAGGATCCATGTATGGAATATTTACCTACATTGACCCCTAAAGTAATTTAAAATAACCCCAATGTAGGTAAATATTCCATACATGGATCCTTAGGGAAAGTATGGATAGTGACTGAATCTACATTATACGTACTATATAATCCACATTCACCTCATGGCCTTGCCTTCCAACCGATGTTCGTGAGCACCGCGTAATCACATAGGTTCCCAGAGCTCGAATTGCGTTTCCTTCCTGCAACGCCCACGCCTGTGCCAGGCCAATGAGTGAAGACCGATGCTGCAGTTGATGTCTCACAATCTGTTTATCAATCACTCAAGTTTCAAATTCGAGGAATCTGTTTGAATCCAATCGTATCGACACAATCAAATTCCCTTACATTAAAGTAAACATTGGCAGTGATCTGTAAAGACGATGGTGCCTGGACAGTCGGATCCCTTTCATCTTGGCTATTGACCAACCGATGTTCCACAGCAAGAGCCGCAAGTGCAGCCTGCAACAATTTTGCTTTGACATGTAGAGCTGTGATTCGGAAATCTTTCAGCAAGCCTGGGCTTCTTTTCCTGTAGGAAATTGTACTGCAAACTTCTCCAGGAATGGCTTCAACAGCTCAAAGTTGGTATCCTGAATGACCTCCAGGAATGGTTTCAACAGCACAAACAAGTCATAATTAATAATCCAACAGTAAGTTTCGCTGACATATCCTGCTTCCAAATGCAGAGCAAAGGAATCCAGAAGCCTGGGTGTGATCAACGCCTTTGCTCTTCGAGGGTCCGATGTCCACAAAGGAGAATTCACACGGAGCCTGCAAGAAATCAAAGTAATATATTGATCAATATATGTTTGATATGTTTGATCCGCATGCAAGCCTTCTTACGGTAAAGATCTCTCCTCACGTCCTCTTCTGGAATCCCTTTCAATTTGGCAATCTTTTTGAACCTGAAGAAAAAGGTATTCAAGCGAGATGAGATGAATGAATATGCATTTGTCCATTGAATATCAAGTTGATCATGATGACACCTACATTTTTTGAAGATGCGGCCTGTCTACCCTGTAGGAATCCTCTGTCAGAAAGAGCCCACCGAAAAAGTCCTGTGCAGTAATGTTGTTGCACATCAAATAATCAAACTCGGATTGGTCATATGTGGTTGTCATCTCAAAAACACAGTTCGATCAAGAGCCAGAAGCAGGCCTTCAGTTTCGCCACCACTTCTTCATTTGGTTTAGATGTTGGCATTGTTGCTGGACCCTTTGAGCAAAAAGGCATTTCAGTTTCACAGAACTCATCACCCAAACATGAAAAAAATGTAAAGGATCTGCAAAAAAAATCAGGTCCGGCAAGGCAAGGGGGGGTGGCACCTGGAGCAGCAGCTGCATAGCCTGGGATAGACAGGATAGAATCAACTTGGGAAGACAGTTCACCCATCCATATCTTCAAGCCTTGTTTTTTTCTGAGTGAAGGACGTTGGTTCAAAGCCCTTTGCATCTCACCATCTCCAACATGACCTGGGAACTAGATAAAGGATCATTAATAAATATGACCACATGTGCTGTCAAAACCAAATCAACCTTTAAGATCCAGGCACACAAATTGGCACAGCTTCCGGGGTTATCTTCAAGAGCATGAGACAGCTATGGGAATGCATATGGATGAACATGATAGCCTATATGAAGTAAACACACGACGTTGTACTGGATCATGGTTAAACTACGACGCCGAAGCCTAGGGTATATATTATATATATACACATATATATATATATTATGTTCCAATATCGTCCACCTCTTTTCAGTTCGTCTCACAGCCCTAAAGATCAGGCTACCCAATTTGCACACACCAGCCTGGTGCGCTCGCCGACCTGCGCTGGTTCCCCTCGAAAGTGACTGTTCCATGGTCGAAAATAGACCGTCTGAAGTTAGTGTCACTGGGTGGATTGCAAAGATGCAGAATCGCAAGGCGTCAGTTTAGCAGTTTTGAACTTACCTGATACTTGCAAGTTTCATCAATCGAATCAATATATATATATATCATATTATATATATATATCATATTATATATATATTATATTATATATATTATATATATATATATTATATATAGTTTTTTCTTTTCAATGGTCACTTTGAGACGCAGCATTTGCATCAGGTAGGGTCCTAGCCCTTTGACTTTCCATTCAAAAGCACTTTGCTGGTTGAATCCGTTTGAATTCCCTTTTTTAGTGGTTAAACTCAGTAAAAACAAGGTAAGAAGCGCCCCCCACTTAGCTAGGTTGATTTATCACGGCTAACGATTGGATTTACAGTAAACACTGTACTACAGTATAGTGAACTAGCTTTATAGTTGACAAGTATGATATATGTATTATGTAATTGTTTATATATATACGCATATACAAATGTCTATGAACAGATCTAACAAATATTTGTTCTAATCTACCAATCATTTGCAATACTGACTAAATTTGTGTATATATATATATGGCAGTGTGTCAAAACCTTGTACCCCTGTAGTTCACATCAAAATAGCTGGGATTTATGGATGTGAACATTCCCCTAAAAATGGTATTAATAGGTATTGATCCATAGCCATATCTATATATACATACTGATATACCAAAGAAATACAACTCTCCAGGCTCTCCATGTCGCCTTCGCAAGGCTCCAGGGCTACTGCTGGGCCGCGACTTCGGAGTCACCCTGTCACACGGCTGGAAAAGGAGCCATGGTATGTTGGTCATGTCATAGCATCGTCTCATTTTAAAGCCCAACAAAATTATTTCTGAATTGTGTAGATGATTATCTAACATGGTGTTGATATATATATATATATAAATATTTATTATATTTATGTATTTATAATATATATATATATATAATTATATAGATATAGATAAATATACATATTCACCTATATACTTCTCTGTGGCTCATAGATGTTTAATACAGTTACATAAACATATGTATAATATGTATATACTGTACCCGTATAGTACTACCTCATTGAACGGTGAATAACATATAAATACATATAATAACGTTATTCACACCGAAGATCATGCGAGAAAAACATGATTCATTTCCTGGTGAAATTGGATTTGGCTTGGCCACTGGCCCCTGGCGCGTCATCCATCCCTTAGATTTAGGGATGGCTATGTGGAAAACCAGGTGGCTCTCCCGGGAACATGATCAACAGGTGGGTTTTCCGACTGTCACATCTATGTTACTTTCCAGGAGGGTTTCTGAGAGATGGCCATGGCTACCAGTTATTTCTGCGATTATTTCTATGGGATGAGAAACATTCTATAAATGGGGTGACTTCTTAGTACTTAGAACTGATAAATGGCCATAACTGTATCTGATAAACTTTCAGGCTTTGGAGAGATTCATCTCATCATGGGGGCCGACTGGTGAGATCTAGCGCAAAAAAGAAAGATCCAGCAGCTGAAAGCGGCTGTGTCCCGGGATTGGCAGTGCTCCCACACCGAGCAAACATGATGTGTGCGGAATCATGAAAAGAAAAACTCAATGACACTTTGTGCTTCAAGACGGACATGATGTCATGTTCAGTCATGGTGGTTTACGCACCAAAACGATGTCAACAAATGGCTGGGGCGCTTTGCCAAGGAAGCATAGATCTCTTCATTTTTCCCATTCAAACACTTCCACAGGCGTTCGTATGGGCACTGTATGGCTCAAGAGTTTGGAGCCACTGAAATCCCCAAAAAAAGCTATCAGCTGTAGGATTGACCATCCCATTTCCTACCCCACCATAAAAAATGTTTGCTTCTAAAAATGTAAAGCCCCGATTTTCATTTTCCCCGCGGCCAGATAACTCTGGAGAATTTTCAGTGATCCCAGTTATTTCGTGGGAAAAACTTGGATAAAACAACGCCAAAGCTTAGTTGAACATGAATGAACATGAAGTCATATAAAAATCAACCAGAACATCAGAAATGTCAACTTTACCATTTTCAATTTTACCAGACATTTCTGTGTTTTCCTTTCTCCTTTCCGTCAAATTTTAGAGGTTTTTTTCAGGCGGCGGATCGCCTGGAAGTCGTACCAGAGATGGCTTTGCCATCCTCACATCGCGGGCCACGGATGGCCACGGCGCTCCAACCAGACTTGAAGTTGTCAGCTGCTCTATACCAGACTTGATGCGTGATCTATACCTATACTTGGCAAAAGAGGTTCTTTTGTACCAACCTATGCTTGAAGAATCTTGAAGAGTTCAATCAACTCAGAGAAGGTCCAAGTGGAACTTATAACTACACATGAACCTTGTAGCAATCAACAGCCAGGTCATACTACTTGTGTGATCTTGAAAGTCGCATTTTACTGGCTAATGAGTTGCATTTAACACCATTCAACGCTTTGCAACTGGGATATCAATGGATATCATGGAACACCAGCACTGTTAGGAACAGAAGCTAACCCATGCCATGGAGATGCATAGCGTATACCGCACTGATTGGATTCCTTTAAAAATCGAGTATCCCACGTTCTAGGAGAAACCCATGTAGTTGTACCGTCAAACTGTAGTTGACCATTGGTCAATGGGAGATCTTCAGGATCCTAAAATAGAGGTACGTTAGTACCATTGTTGGCCATATTTTGCTGGGATATTCCCTTACATAGGCCTGAAAAATAGGCCTTATAATATGGTAGGTACCTCCACTCAATCGGTTCCTGAGATGGCCAGTGAATTGGTGTCAAGTTCAAAGCCGACCAATGGATTTTGGGTACCGATTGACCCACCATTTTCAGATATGTTTTCTTCGTGAATCACCCGAGGTGGAGGTAAGTTATATTGAGGCCACAGCAAATTTCAAACCTGGGTTGGACCAGAAGTAGCGAAAGTATGCGAAAGTTAGTTTACAACTTCAATAGTCTTCAATGAGGCTATAATTGGGATCATTCCCCTATGTTTATGTTTGGGGATAGTTCCCCCACACTAACCAACTGCCGTGTTTCGATGCGCAACTCCGCCGCGCTTCCGCCGCCGCGCGTTCGGCTGGCGGCGCTCTGCGGCCGGCCCGTTGTGCGCCTACCAACAACGAATCAACCACTGCTGAGGATATGTGTGGAAATATTTGATATATGACAAATAATACATGATAAATAATTGGTGATATATGATATATGATACTTGATATGTTATATATGTTTTATGATATTTGATATGTGATATATGATATATGATATTTGATATGTGATATATGATATGTGATATGTAATAATATGAATAATCAATCCGCTGTACACAGATATCGACAACTAACCAGCTGAACCTTAAGTATCAACCAACATATTGCAAACGGACTTGCAAAGCATATACTAATTTCCAGGAATATCTCCAAGTGTTGATAAAGAGCAGGGGAATATGGGAAAGTACCGTTTGTTGGCCTGAGCGTAAAACACTCTAGATGTGAAAGAAGATAACATACACTGAAGGGCCTGGCGGGGAGGTAACCGATCTTGCCCATAAACACTTGAGTTACACCAAAAAAGGAAGTATAGTCCCAGCCTCAAATCGTGTTTACCCTGACCTGCCCAGTGATGAACAAATCCATTTGGCCACGGTCTCTGGGTGAAATACCCTAATGTTGAACTGGTAGGGACATATTACCTACATTTACCTATGATATCAGTGAATTGCAAGTGAGACACACTCCGGTAATTGAACATAGCTATGGAACATTGCCCATTTAGAGATGACTTACCTATTTGTGTGATCTTCCGCGGCTGTGTTGAATTACCAGAGGGTATGATCTTCCGCCAAGACAATGACCATCGATCTTTGAACCCGAGGAGGTGTTGATGTTAAGCCAGGGTTACGCTGTTTAAAACAGTGATTAAGTACTATTCACATCTATTACTGTAACATTGATACCCCTCTATCAATAATGGGGTTTAAGCTGGGTTAACATCATATACCATGATCCCAGTATGAAATCCCATATTGTACATACATACATATATATACAGTATATATTATGGGTTTAATACCTCTATTAATAATGGCTTTACATTATATATATACCCTCTGGTAAACAGCCACGTAACCATGGAAAGATCCACCATGCTATCAATGGGTAAATCGACTACTTCTATGGCCATTTTCAATAGCGAATCATACCATCCCATGATCCCACGATCCCACGATATCTCCGCCGTTGTTTTCAAAAAATCTCCGTGGCTGAAGCCATGAAGATTGATATCCCATGTTATCACTCGGTCCATGCCAAAGCTGCTTGCGTTCATTCAATATCTACGAAGTTTAGCTGTTCATTTTATTTTTCCCCATTTTTTTTCAACCTGGGTCCAAATGTTTATATCAAGCTCCAAGCTTAGAAAATGCCTAGATCTTCTCAATGGCTCCCCGGTTCCGCGGTGAAGCCCGCACGGCTTATCCAAGGCGCTTGGGCGTCCGTTGCAGCAGCTTTTGCACCTCTTGCTGCTCTTCTTCCAGCTCCTGAAAGGACAATGGAACCAACAAGGGGAATGCCACCAAGATATTCATGGGATTTTGAATATGTGTATCTATATATTATATAATCATATATAGATATATATATATATATATATATATATTCAGCATTAATCATAGAGTTGAGATTCATGATGAAGATCTAAGCACATGGAATTTCACCTATCAATGTGGGGATGTGCAGAAATGATCTCAAATGATCTGACGTCTCAAACGCTCTGTTTGGCGAATGTCATTCAGAGGTCCTTGAGTTATAATGTCAACCCCGGATTAATAAACCATGGTTTGTTAATTGGGGGAGTACTCCTCCAATAGTCATTATTTGATACTTAAATGGTACCCTCCCAATTAAACAACCTAGGGGTTTATTAATCCAGGGTTGACATTAAATTGGTTTAGTTTCACTCACTTGACGATAGATAAAACCACTATAAATCCAATCCTGAGCCGATAGTTCTATCATGTTATATATAACGTACCAATCGTTTGAGGGCCCGTTCATGTTGCTGCAATTCAAATCTGCGAGGAAACACTCGCGAGGTGTGCCCTCGTCTTGCACAACCAATCCAATTTACACTTCTGGTGTAGTACAATGTGTGTAGATCTGCGAGTATACATGTATAATTAGACATATAGACCGTATAGAAAAACAACGTGTATATACATAAATGTAAACAAGCATCATGAAACATAAGTATCATGAACATGTATAGCAAACCCTAAACATATAACAAATACATATAGAACAAATTAAAATCTGTGAATATGAGGCAACTGTCATCTATAGTCATCCTGGAAACAAGTTTCCATCTTTTTCGGGAGTTGTTAGACATAGGTACCATGAACAATATATATATATACATATATGTTATAATTCTATACATTCCGCCCCAGCAATGGTATCCATCATTCCGGGCACCTTCCACCCACCCCACACCTTCTGTTGCTGTTGCAACTTCATCATCCTCTCTTGAAGATCCTCCGCGACAAGTCAACCGCGGTCTCAGAATCCCTGACAAAAACATATCAATAGCTGGGGAAGACCATGGATTGAATGTGGGATGGTGATCATCCGGGATATTAAATGGACATATCCTTGGAATTTAACCAACCAGAATTGAGTGTGGATATCAATGGCCAACCTTGACATCACTGCAGGAATCATGCTCAATCCTAGATACCCTGCAAATAGAATCTGGTTCGGACACATCCCCTTGTACAACACGCAAGGTTGGCTTCCTCAAGTACACTGCAGCTGATATCAAAATTGATATCTCCATGAAGTTCCAATTATGCTTTGTATTTGGGTTTGTCTGAACATTCTGTGAACGCACAAAAAATGCCATTTTAAGAGTGATAGCAATGATTACAGTAACCACTGTTTTCTATGAGGAATTGTTGTAAACATCTTAAGACAAATCACATAATTGTTGGTTATATATATATATATATCACTACATACCCAATCTTGTTGGTTGTATATCCCATCATGTTGCAAAACAATCACCATTATATATGCATATCCTCGTTAAATCCCCATGAGTGCTATCTTCGGTATCTAACCCTATGAATATCCTACAAAATATCACCTTTATTTGTATCCCCAGTTATTTGTTCACCGAGGTGAAAATTGGATACAGAATTAGATGGTGAATACTAAAGATAGACTAAAATCTGTGGTCCTCTAGGGCTTAAAATGTTAACCCATCCCCATGTGGAAGTTTCTTAAAATGGGGGTATATACCTCTCCAAATCATCCATTGTAAATAGGATTTTCTATGAAATTAACCATCCAACCATCCTATTGGGGATCCCCGGTGACTATGGAAACCTCCCAACGTCACCAGCAACGCACTCCGGCACTCCGCTCCTTGCGTCGCAGGGCTTCCACTCGCCCCTGCAATTCTGCCTCGTTGGCGTCGTCGCAGTCCTGAAAGGAAGGTAAAATAGCCATGTTTTACAGATGGAAAAAATTGTTCAGAATGGCTAAAATAATGTTTGATACTAGATGTTTATAGATGTTTATAGCCATTCTTAACAATGATGGTTAAGAATGGCTGGTAATAATGGATGGTTATCAGAATTATGGTTCTAAACTTCTAATAGTCCGTTGTTTCATTTTGTCATGGTTATGAATGGTTAACAATGGTTCATTATAACAATGGTTCATTATCATGGTTATGGATGGTTATGGATGGTTTAGAATGGTTAATGGTTCAGAATGGTTAACAATGGTTGTTAGTAGTGGTTAAAAAGGATTGATAATGGTTAAGACTGATTGACAATGGTAAATAATGGTTGGTAATAGATGGTATTATAGATACTGGAGAATTAATCATGGTTCGGAAAATAATTACCCTTAGATTGTTGTACTTCATAATCCATTGATGGATTTGTTGCAGGAAAAAAACAATGTTTTTTGCTTTTTTGTTTCTTCACAAAGATATGGTTTTCCAGCAGATTTTCCCTTATCCCTTAGATCAATTCTGGGAATTTTAGAAGGATAGACGATAGATCTATGAACATAGAAGGATAGACCATGGGGATCTCAACCATCTATACTCAATCTGTTGCACATTGTAACTGAGTATAGATCATTATAGATCTACGATGATGTGAGATATAAGTAGACCAAATGAATTTGGAAGAGGTGCAACACATAGATGGAAGATGGCCATCGTGGCTAATCAACACCAAAAAACACAATAAAGGTAAACTATTAAACAAAAACACACAAACACGCAACTGAGTAACCCACGTGCCATATCTAGGGATTGAAACAATCCTAAAAAATGATGACTCATCGTCGTCATGGCAGCTGATGGCATGAACAACCTATAACTAGACTACAATTAAAATCAAAAAATAATAGAACAGACCTTTACAATCCTTTCCTTGAGGTCAATTCCGCATGTGACACTTGCATGTCCGTTGGTTGATGTAAACCTCCATGTCTTGCGATGTTTTTAGCCGCCTTCAAAAACAACCGGGTCTGCGGGTCCTCTTCCGGCAAATCCAACTCTTGTGATGTCTCTGAATGCCTGGGCAAGGCTTGGGATCAAGGCTGGAATTCAGGAAGTACCTAGACCCTCCAAGTACCCATGAAAATGCTGTTTTACTCCAAAATCTCAGAACTTTTACCATCTTTTAGAGGGGTATTTGGAGGCTAGGGTAAACCATGGTAAACCCAAGAAAATCCAAACATATTCGCTCGGGAAGTGTTCAGTTTTTCATGTTTCCATCGCTCTGAATGCCTCGCCCTTGACTCAGGTGCCATGGTGCCATATCGGTGGATGCAAGTTAAAAATGCGTCGGTTTGAAGCACCAAAAAAAGTGATTGAATATATCATATTATGTACATTAATATATATATATATATTATGTATATGTTGTCAACAAAAATTGCGGCAGTTACAAGAACAGCATACAAACTTGCATGGTGCCAAACCAACTACTGTAATTAGTGGTATGGATGTCGAAATCAAACGTAGAGCGGAGGTTCATCGGTATACAACAATGTATGTCTGAAAACAGGCTGCCAAGTAAGGGAGTTGCATGTAGCCTGGCAGAAAGAAGCGGCCAGCCGCCCAGTCTAAATCATACTCATAAACCCATGAACATCATTAAACATCCACGAACCCAATGGATTATCAGCCATCTTCGCTGTTACCCTCTGGTAAACGTTTACATAGCGAACTGGACAATCACCATCTTTAATAGGTCATCAATTGTAATCAACTATTTCTATGTGCCATTTTCATCCATTTTCCAGTTCGCTATGTAACAAACCAGAGGGTCACCAACGGGTCGCGGCCCAAGACGCTCCAGTGGTTGTTGGGTGGAGACCAAAGAGCTCTCAGAGGCCTCACTTTCCCAATGGGATCTCCAAGCTCGCTGGTTGATTTCATGGAAAATCCTGGAAAATCCTATAAAAAAAGGAAGATGATCACTGGGGTACCCCCATGGATTGGAAACCTCCATCAACCCAGAAACATCGCCAGTTTTTTCGAGACTTACCAAGTCAGTGGGAATTCAGGACCTATACACCATATCAAACCATATTTCTGGGAATATTCCCTGAAATTTAGCCCTTACATAGGCCTTGCATATGGTAGGGACCTTCAATTTAGGTTGCTGGAATGGCCATTGCACAGAGGAGAATACTTAGTGGTTAGTATACATAACTCACTGTTGAACGGTAGTTTAACAAAACTAATTACCTATTGGTTAGTAGTTTCATAAAACATGAAATAAAACCTAGTTTTTACCAATAGTTAATTTCAACAAGTAAAAACTATATATATATACACAGTAGATTTAGCTGTATTAAAGGATATTAACCCATAGTTAAATTATTATCATTGACCATTTATTAACCCATAAAATCCATTGGGATATAATCTGGGGTAATGGCGACGATAGTTAATCTCCAACTCGGTCGTAATTCCCAATCTGGGATAAAACCATGTCACCCTAGGGTTTGCTGGCGAAAAAGAATCGCAGTATTTACGAGGGCTTATTTGTTAGGTTTCAAAACATAACCAATGGGGATAAAACTGGAATTTATTATTCTGAGGTTAATCATGGGAATATATGTCATGAGATTTTCAAGGGTTTTCTGAGGATAGAATCTGGATTTACTGTGGGTTTACTATTATTCAATGGGAACATACTGGGATGGTACAAAATCAACAGGAACAGGGATATAATGATATAGTAGGGATAAAATGGAGAGAAGTAAGTGCTGCAGAGGCTAAAGTACCCGTTGTACCGGAGCACGAGCTGTTCTACCCATTTATGGTGAAACACCATTCTAGTTGTGATATCTTGTCGATTTACCGTTCTGAAAACAAACGCATCATCCACAGTTCTGGTATATAGCATCTATGCATGGTATCACATGCTAAATGCGCATAAAACACACCATACAAAAGTGTGCCATCTTAGTGAAAAAAAAACGTTTCGTTTTGAGAGGGTGTTTGTTTATTTCGTATTGATGGCATACGAATCAACTTTTACCAAAAAATGGTGGATATGTACTGGACATGGTGACATGGTGATGGGTAGATTCGATGGGCTTGCTGAGCACCAGATGCGAGGAATGGGGTGCCCCCCAGTGAAGTGCTTGTTGGTTGATGAAGTTTATGACCCCCATTCCATCATTAACATCCGCATTTATCAACTATATAATTATTTCGATAGATATTTACCGGAATTCCCTATAGTTATTGGAGTTATCTTTATGAACTTAACGATCTCTAGTTGCAATATAAATCCTAATGTCTGACCATTAGTTGCTTTATAAACCCAGAGAAAAAACATCCATCTGGCTGAATCATACGGCCATCTGGGGATGATCCCCCGTATTTTTTTCGGAAAATTCCAGTGACGTCACAGTGAAGTCACTATATATTTTCCAGATATGATTTAATATTAATACATATATATATATATCTATACATATATATACATATATATATATATACATAGTTGAATGGGATTACAAGGATTACAAACTTATGAACCAAGAGTTAAGATATACAAACCAGATATAGACGAATAAACCATATATATATATACACCATATATCAACCATATATACAGAGCCATACAAAACACACATATATATATATGATAATACTATAGTTAACCCACTATATAGGCCACACACATATATATATATATATACAATATATACATAGAAAACATTATAGAACATATCTAGACCATATAAAAATGATATAATATACAAACTATATTATAATTCATTAACTAAATAAATCAACCACATCTAATCATCGAGAAAACGATTTAGCTCCGGCCTCGCAGGTGCATCGGTCGCCGCTGCGATCTGGCTCAGAGTGATCCTGATGAGTCAAAACCCATGGAATCCCCGAGACGGTGAACATCAAAATCGTTTGGATTGATGGATGTTCATCCGCCAATCCAAATGATATTAATATTTATAGGTATTGATCCATAAACATATCAAAAAACTGCATTTTATTTTTTGATACAGTATCTTGGTGATAATTGAAGCTGCTTGGTGATACAAATGATGATTTGATTTAACCAGCTACAATCTTATGCTGAAATACCAATGGTGATATAGGTGTGTCTTCAAATTGGGTACTCCAATATCCAATGGTTTATACATACGATAAACCCATATCAAGAATGGTCGTATATGGGTGATAATCTGGTACCAGGGAATCTAGTGAGGAGTTACACTCTGGTAATTTAAGATAGCTATTGAAAATGGTGAATTATAGTGGATTTACCCATTGAAAATGGTGATTTTCCATAGTTATGTTAGTTTACCAGAGGGTAACCAGCTAGAATCAGGACTGCTCTCACCTCCAATTTCATGTTATTATAGCATCATGGCCAATCTTAGATACCCTGCAAAAAAAAATAAATTCTTAGCTGGTTAATTAGTAGATAATCCCATTGATACCACAAGACTAAAGGATTAAACTACCCATCCAAGATTGACCTAGGCATCTATGGATGATATGTCTATTTCGAATGTACCACACTATGCAGAGAGCATTTGGGAAGGGGTTGAGAGATGCTGACAGTACAAGCGTGGTCCCGCTGCTAACTTTGAAAGAACAGGACACATCATCTTTGTTCCCAATGGCGATATTGGGATTGGGATTCACACACCTATTTTGGTTGAATTGTTCAGCTATCCGTTTATCCTATGTTAAACTAACACTATAGGGGAAAGACTTTTGCAACTATTTCGACAAGTGACGTGTCATGACTTGGCATAGAGGGTAGCTGGACGCCCTTGAAACCACTGCATTCATGTCCAACCTTCATTGAATTGTGCTTCGTACACTGTAATCTACGTGCTATCTTCATTGTGTGCCACAAAAAATCGAGTAAATATATGCATGCTCGCTTGACTAAATCTCTGATTGGTTGCTTGATATACCATGATTGCTGGGCAAAATCAGAGAACCACATGCTTTTGAGTGGATGAAGAAACATAATAAACAGTTTCTGATGGGTTTCATCCATCCCCAGGTGAATCATGTCAATCAACCACTCTGTTTCCAATTAAATGCCATGTTTTGAAGCCTTTGGTTCAAACAAGTTTCAAAGGTTGGTGGATGAATATACCTGTATCTTCAATTTATGATAGATGACATCCAATTTTCGATGTCACATTTCCACATGTTGTCTGCTTAAATCCACTTAAGTTTTGTTGTTTGAAGCGCTTAAACCCCCCAATCACGTCTGCTGGTCAATGTTCATCAATCTCCAGTGGTGATGTCCAAAAGTTTTGTTGCAAACGAATCCAAGTGTTCACTAACCGAACTTGACTAAATCACAAGTCATCCAGAATGTCCAGTGTTATTAAATGTCCAAGTGTTCACTAACCAACACCCTTTGTTGTTAAACCAAGATTTTCTACATTATTCAAAGCCATCCCTGTTATTTATTTCACCAACACTGGGTTAATGGGACATCATCCCATTTGTTCTTGGTGAATTCCCAACCATAAATGGAGCTTTCTAGCTGGGAAAATCATCTATAAATGGGCCATCTATACCATGGCTATGTTAGTCATAACCAGAGGGTAAATCCCATTTTTTCTTGGTGAAATCCCAGCTCTTGCTGCTTGAAACCACCGTCCTCGCTGGCCGCTTTGCTCAGCGAAGCCACGGCCGTCACACGGCACGTCTCATCGGCACGTGAGGCCTTGCGGTGGACACCAACAAAATCGTCCTAGGCAAATCATGGTGATTAATCATTAATAAGCAGCTATAAGCAGCTAATAAGTATTACTGTAGTTGGTTAACATTAACATAATATGGGGATTAATGACCATTTTAATCCATTAGAGTAACGTAATATTATGAGTCTGATTAATCATTCATAAGCATTTAGTAACCAAAGCAAATCTAGTTGGTCTCTGATTCATTGCGAATAATGGTTAGTATGTACTTGCTATTCATGGAGTAATCTTCAGACTAAATACCATTGGGGAATCGAGTGGGATAGCCTCTGGTCATTTCTTACAGTTTGCTATTGAACATGGCCCATAAATAGTTGATTTACCATGGATTTACCCTCCAGTAAATTAACATAGACCCTGGCAGTCATCGGGGTTGGAAGATTAGTTTCCATTAAAACTAGGCTATGTTCAGGGTCAACATGTTAATTTACCATGGATTTACCTTTTAAAGATGGTGATTTTCCAGTTCGGAAATGGTAAACCTTTACCATTCAGCAAATCCTATATCGCGAGATTCCAAAGGATGGACTGTTTTGAAAAATTCACTCGCCACAGAACTGGAGTTTTTTTTTGTTTTTTTAAGTATTCCAGTAAACACACATTAATGGGATAGTGAAGGATATGATAAGGTAGATTAAGAAACTTTTTTCACTACACTCTTTATGAGTTTTTAAAAAATATCAATGATCAACCAACTATTTTTGGGGTACTTCCTTTCAAGACAAACCCATCTATGAGTATCTTGACTGCAATATACCAACAAACATCTGCCAGTATGAGAACATTCCTATTTGGTAACTATAACTTTCAACTTATGAACTACTAGTAACTTATGTTAAAGTTATGATAACAAAATTGTTTACCACAAGAGTGTAATAATCACCAAATAGAAACCTTACGAACTACTACTGGTTTGTTCCCAGCTCCACTGCGAAACAAATGAACTTCTGGGGAGTTATGCCCAAACCTAAAGTCCAAGGTATTGGCTGGAAACCACCATGATTATATTTACCATAATAATCGAAATAATCATGCCTCAGTTGATTTTCAACAGGTGAAAAAGGATATAAGTTCATGTATAGTATGTTGATACTCAACTTAGGTATGATCATGTCTCCTTTTTTAAATGTTAAATCATGTTAAATCACTGTTTCAACTGATTATAGGTAGTTATTAAATCATCACCAAATATCAGTGGTCAAAACTGCTGACCAAAAAACCATGGATGGTTGATATTCTTCACGTAGACATTCCAATCTGTGGTCCAGGTCTTAATTGTTGACCCATACATAATCTGCTTGTTGAATACTGAATATATGGTTGGATCACTCCTCTTAGAATAATCTAATCTTAATGTAATCCCCTTAGGATAATCTAATCTTGATGTAATCTTCTTAGAATAATCTAATCTTAATACAATCTAATCTGATGATAGGTAGTCCGTGATTAATTATTATGATTGTATGAAAGGTACAGCCTGAAGGCAACTTCCGCCCCGCCTCATGCGGGTACTCCTGGTAAATCATTATCAACTGATTGTAGGTAGTTAAACCATGGATTAGCAACCTCCAATATGTTTGATCAGTTAATACGATTAACTGAGAATCACTCTTTGGAACCAGAACTGTGATAATATAAACTACTCACAACTATCACTAGTATAATTGGTTATTATTCGTGATAATTCTACAGTGATAGATATCATTAGTATTAGTTACTATGGTTACTATGGTGATAGTTACTATGGTGATAGTGAACCAGAAGGGTGATGATATTAACATATATCAACTGCCCACAATTATCACTAGTACTAATGGCTTATTATTAGTGACAAATACTATAAACCATCCCCAAAATCACCATTTCTATAGGTGCTATAAATCATTCCCAAATGGGTGCTTTATGGCATTGTTTTACCCACATTCACTGGACCGTTGCCTCCACAGCTGGTGCCCATGCAGAGCTAGGCCGTGCGCGTGCGCGAAGGAGCTGCAGTGGCGTCACGGGCATCGCAGGCGCCTCAAATTGGATGCCGCCAGGGGGTGCAATTTGGGGCCTTAAACGTAGGATTTCACCAGTGAAAATTTAGGAGTTGAATGTAGTTTGTACCAGGCAAAAAATATGGATCAAATCCATCAAAGTTAGAGTTTAACCAGTTAAACATGTGGAGCTTAACTAGTAAACATGTGGAGTTCAACAGTAAAACGGTGAAATTCAATGAACATCATTGATGAAAACTAAGCACACACACACATTGGTAACCAGCAAAGATGAGAGTTGATATTGGATTAATTGGTTTCTGCTGGTTTGTAACTTAGCTGTACTTATTGTGGATATCTAGCGCATTCTAGATTTCACCAGCAAAAACAGTGAATTTAATCACTTCCAATTTGTAATTTGTCTGTTGAACATTTTAATACCAATAAAAATGACGGATTTACTGCGATTTACCAATAGGGATGAGGACAATACCGTGATTTACCTTAGGGATCTTAACCGATGAACCCTTTTTTTTGAATCCGCAAAAATACAGTTCTTCAAGCCTGCTATGTAGGAGATGTCAGCCTCCATAGGCTTCAAGGCAACTGAGCTGGGATTCACCAACACAATGATTTTAGGCACTCCAGTAAACAATCTCTGACAACAAAAAACACAAAAATCACAAAAAAAAATCTTGGTTCGACAATACTAGGGATCATCCGAAAATGAGGACTTATGTTCTAGATCCCTAGTTTGTCAATAGGAATTTTGATTTTCTAGATTACCTGCAGACTTTAGTACCTACAGTTATGGCCATTTATCAGTTATAAGTACTTATAACCCCATTTATAGAATGTATAATCCCATTTATAACCAGTTATAACTGGTAAATGGCCATAACTGTACACCCATATCTATACCCTTCACCCTTTTGGACATCGACGACCCCTCGGAATTCCGCGACGCCTGCGGAAGCGTGGACGATCGCAACTGCGGAGCCGAGGCGGGGCGCGCCAGGCGCATGGCACTCGCCTCCCTTGGCGGCCCGGGCTGAGAGTTCCATATGGTTTGGTTGACGAACTTGTCACCATCCAACACATGGGGATTTGATTGTTTTTAATGGTGGTCAAATGGTGGTTTTTCGAAGTTGTTCATGGGATTTCACCAACCAAATGGTGGTTGATTTGTTTTTTAGAATGGGAGTTAACATATTGAGCAATGTTCAAAAGCAGTTTTTTTTAAATGACCATTTCAGGTACCATTTTTTGGAGGTACCTACAATATACAAAGCCTATGCAAGAGCTATGTAAGGAGATATGAGATATGCCCTCAAAATTGGGCTTTATTATTGATCTTGGTCTTGTCTGTCTTAGAAACTGTCAGTATAGGTATGCGGTATGTGGCTATCATATGGTTGGGAAACTCTATTCGTAGATCCTTGGCTCCCCATGAAAAAAGGGAAAGCCCCAGCTCCTTAGCTCTCTCCCAACCACTTATGTTTGGTTAGAGACATATTGACCCATTAAAATGATGGCAAACAGGAACCTGTATCCATACACACCGGAGGAATTATGAACCAGCAATATCCAGTAATACAATGTTGGATCCGCCATGCCTTATACTCAGACCCAATGGGTTGTTTTTTGTGAATGTACATCCATCAATCCCAGCTATCTACGGACGTTCACCGTTTGAGGGATTCCATGTTTTCACCGGTTTCGTTCTAATCTTTCAATGGACATCCCATTGACCATCCAGTGGTTGATCTAAATGTAACGGTGGTGTTTTGATGGCGAACCCTATGGGAGTTTACCAAACATGGCCAATTGCGAATGGCACACTGCGGTCAAACCAGGCTTAGCCAGGAAAATCACCCCCAGATCCGTTGGTGAATCACCAGAAGAAATGGCCATAGATTGGGGTTTCACGCCATGGAAATGGCAACGTTGTCAGAGAACCCCAAATGGGTCTTCAACGACCAAATCTCGGTCTTCAACGATCATCTTCAGCTCCACGGAACGCTGGGTTACACCCATAGTAGTTGTGATCCTCCTAGGTGTGAAGATCTCATCCCAAAATCATGGCCGGGAGCTGGTATACCATCTATCATCATTTCCCTGTTGTTAAAGGGGTTTCTTCAAACCTCTCTTTTTTCATCAACCAACCAATGGGAAAATGATTTTTCATCAACCAACCAATGGGAAAAGGACATCTATGTGACCAATCTTAGATCCAATGCAAAAAAAACAACTGAATCTTTTCTCTGGTTAGTAGATGACAGGATGACAAACAATTGATCACTGAACTATATAAACTATACTCAACCAGGGCTTACCCCGAAATGACGATTTTCTTGTTTCATCCAAGCTTCAAGTAGGCCTGCCGTGAGGCCTCTCTTGCCCGTGGATTTGCTGTCAGCAGAAAAACCGCCATGGTGGTTTCCACGCTGTCGACGGAGGCTTCACGCTTGCAACGTATGAAAAGTCACCCATGCGGTGCCATGTGAAGTGCTAACTCCGGGGCTATCTTTTTTGCCAATGAGCTCCGGCTCAAGTTTGGACATTTTCTTAACCAACACTACGACTGTGAGATGGTTGACGCTGCCAAAAAAAAAGATCGAGCCGTGGTGATGGGGGTTTGTGGACGGGTGGACGTGTGCTATGATCAGTCTGCAATTGACACCATTGCTCAATTCATTTGGAATTGTGTGATGCCGGTTTCCATGTGTCCCCCTGGTAGAAACCCAAATGCCAGCGTTCAGAGGAATAACTTGACAATCACCCTTGAATTCACGTCCAGAACGATATGCACGGTTCAGCGCTAAGAAGTTTTGGTTGTTTCTTACACACACTGAAAAGCATTGGTCAGCTGACTTATGATCCCATATAGTAAGATAAAGGCACATATGGGGGTTTCCTTAAATGGGGGTACCCCTAAATCATCCATTTTAGATTGGGATTTTCCATTATATATCATCCAGCTATTGGGGTACCTCCATTTATGGAAGCTCCCATATCAGCAAACAAAACTAGCATGGACCTGAAGGGCCCAAGAGCCGGAAACTCACCACCATGCCACAAGGAACTCACATGTACCACTCGGGGATCGTTTATACAACCCCAATTAAAGCCCAATTATGGCAATATTTGGGATGATACATGAATTTCAAATCCTCCCCAATTGATGGTGTTTTCAGGACGTTTTGATCCCCGTGTTCAGAACGGCTAACAATCTCTGTCCCAGTCAAGCTGTATTTGGGTCAATGCCCATGCTTCTTGTTCAAATCCCTACTTTATTCTACTTTGCCATGACGAACATGGTATGTTTGTTCTCAGGCCATGATTTGGTTTTCTCTTCATGTCTGACAGTCACACCGGTGGTTTGCCTGTTGGAAATTACAACTGTTGGGGTCTAAATGTGTTTTGTTCATATGGAGAAAACTACATATGTACATATCTTCACATACACATATGTATTTATCTATGCATAATAAATAAATATATATATATATATATAGTGTGTATATATTTATATACATATTGTATATGTATATGATATGTATACATACAACTAATTACAACTAATTATTACATATCTACTATATATCTTAAATATCATTAAATATATTTACATACGTCTTGCTTGTCGGTTGTGCAACTGCACCTAACGAAGCGAGGAGATGCTGCACCTGGAACGATGGCTGCCTAGATCCTAGGCGAAATCCCCTCCCAAAAAATGGGACAAAACACTAAGATTATGAGGTAAAACATCATTTTTATGGAGTTAAAAATCTACCATCTAGTATATGTAATGAAGACCAGTTGCTAACCATTCACTACCTTCCAGCCCTAGGTACTGGATGATCATATCTAGCTTTATCATCAAGGAATGGCAAATATAAAGACCATTATCTACAATCATCAATTATACCGGCGTTAGCAGGGTTTCCATAATAACTACGTTAGTTCATAATCACCAATAGAACAGGTCGTAAAACCAATAAACAAGCAGATTGAACAACATATCACTTCTCATGTGAGGATTGGCAAAATTATCTGAGGAACTTCATGATGGGTGATTGATACGGATCATTTTTCATACATCCCCATGTTCTGGGTTGCAAAAAAAACAGAATCAAACACATTCCATCACTTTCCCCACAATGACGTTTACTAAAGTCCGGCTTTGCTTTGACTGTTCTTTAAAGGAAATCTATGTTGAATGGAATTCCCATTTTGTTCATCACAATCACTGCGCAATGCTGCAACAGGTACTTCTTATCCCAACCTAATGAGGAAATAAATGGGCAATCCATGTCAGGTTTGGGTACTGTAAACCATGAATGATTGCCATGTGAATTAATTATTCCCATCCCCGGACATCTTAAACACCTGACCATGTTTCAAACCACAACTCATGAACAAATCCAAGACTAAACCAACAAGCCTAGGGGCATAGGTAATATTATACACCAACTGAACTCTATGAAACCGTCGATAGACCCATGAAGAAACCAACAAATAACATGTGCATAAACCACAAATATGTTCTGTATATTTATCTATGTCTATTTATATATGTATAGCTGGTTGGTGGTATACCTACCCCTCTGAGAAATATGAAAGTCAGTTAGGATTATTATTCCCAACTGAATGGGAAGTCATAAAATTCATGTTCCAAACCACCAACCAGACATATTGAGTGTGAATATATTTATATATGTATGTGTTCTAGCGATAATCTATGTAATTTTCTATCGATGTCTAGTTTGTTCCTGATAAGTGATGGACTTATTCCTCATGATTTGTTACCGCTGTGCAGGCGGATGATGGCCCATACTTGAACACATTCATAGAATGAAACTACCAGCACCACTAGAAAACCATATTATATATATATAACAGATTTACCAATTTTTATCATTATAATATACTGACAATTACCGTGTATTATATATATATATATATCCGTATATTATATATACTTACCTAGACCCTCCAAATGCCGCTTAAAACCCATGGTAAAGGGTACTAGGGTCTCGGTGCCCAAGCTGAACTCCAACCACTTGGCCAAGCCAAAATCTGCCAAGCGCATGGCCTAACGCGGAAACCACAGTGACCGTTACATACGGTGATTGCAGCAGCAAACGATGGAACATTAATGTACCCTCTGGTAAACTAACATAGCTATTGAAAAGGGCCATAGAAATAGTGGATCTTCCCATTAATAGCATGGTGATTTTCCATAGTTACGTTAGTTTACCAGAGGTTACATGTCATTACCATAAGACTCAACATGTTGGGATATATTGGGGATACAATATGATTATATATGATGATGTTTAACCTATATTAACCTATAATGGATTCAAAGATCAAAGTGGGCAGTTGATCCACAAACACAAGACTGTTTTGCAGTAACAAACATGGGGATTCAACTTCACACCAGCTCTGGATTTCACCCAAACCCTATGGATCCAAACACCTCCGTCTAGAAGGTATACTCAAAGTCACCCTGAAAAAACACTTCCGAAGATACAGCTGGATCGGGAAAATCTGTGGTAAAAAATCCCATTCAGATTCTGATGAGGCTCCTCAGAGGCGGAAAACAACCGGCAGTTGATAAAGAATTCTGACCTGCTTTGAACACCGAAATTCGAAGGTTCCTTGAATTGGCTACAATATACCTTTTGGTATCTTTTGGTAAACACGGGGAAGAAACTATCCAGTTGTTCAATGTGGGCTTTCTGCCATTTTGATTACCACTGGCCGTTTTTTCCGCCTGATGGTGGTGGTGGTAAAAACAGTCAATGTCCATTGGCGAAACATTTAACCATCAATGAAAATTGGTTCACAGAATCATGAGAAACCCAATAGTAAACCTACCATTTGCGGATATTTTTTTTCCACCCGTTGATTTTGGGGATGGCTTATGGCATTGGGTGTACCACAGGTATTTTTCTTTATTGATCGAATTCCTGAAGTAGGAAACCGGTTTCTGCACCGGCCATTTGATGTCAAACCTTCTCTGACACACACGTTCTCTGCGCAGCTTTTACTATCAACAAGCAGCAAAAAGGTCGGGCTGGTGAAGCTAACCATCCTTCATTGGGGCTCTGTCAGCGGAGGTTGCGATATGGATGGTTGTAGTAAAGGCTTCGATTTTTTCCCCAGCCAAGAAACAACTTAAATACAAAGACTATTAGAAGCCAGAAATCAGCCATATACCCTCTCGTAATTACATGCAATTACCCATTAACACAGTTGGATTTCCATAGCATATCTTAGTTTACCAGAGGCTATTACCGCTGACATTTCACCAAAGAAATCACCCCAGGTTTCGCTTTTTTCACGCCATGCCACATCGTCTTGCCCGAAGAGGAGGTTGGAGGGTTTGACATCACGATGAACACCTCATTTTTTTCAGCTCGGAAGGGCCCGCTATAGGACTTGTGGTTGTGTAGGGCGAGTCACGACTGGGCACTAAAATCCAAACAATGATGATTCAGAAGCCCAAACATAGGAATACATAGGAATACGAGTAGCATTGGTGATCAAATATCGTGGGTGCTTGTTACTAATATAGTTATTTAGTAATATTAAAGTGACAAGTATATAAAACTAACATTAGGGTGTTCATCGTGAGGAACCATTATACATTACAGTAATAGAGATGATATCGCTCATTTTGCTTCAAAATGTGACTGTCAGCAACCAATTCAAATTTGGGATGTATTTTTTTGGATTTATTGGGACAAGATACACTTCACACAGTCGTGTAAACAATGTTTTGACTTATTTTTTACAGATTTCTGTAGCCCATTGTCACTTCGATTTCAAGCACCAATCGATTGATACGCGCCATCCCACTTGACACACTTGTCTCATGTTGTCCTTTGGGGATATGTTCACCAGCAAAAAGCGTTGCATGGTGTGCCCATGGATCAACCCAAGTGTTCCAGGTGCAATAACTGGGCAGCTTTCAAAATATCAACAGCAGGACTATTCGGTTGAATTCCATCGACAACATCTGCAGAAAAATACAGTAGCTGTGTTGCAACAAAACTTTTTTCAGCTCGAACTCTCTCGAAAAGTCTGCAGAAAAGCACCATTGAGCCGAGGCGCAGGAGTGATTGTGAAGATATGCCAAGGCCCGCAGGCACTGAGTCAAGATGGATTTGGCCTCCTGGTACCTGGCGGCAAGGCACATGGGGCTTTAAACATAGTGAAACCATCCTGAAATGGGGATGTATCAAATGTAATAGGCCATCGTAAGATTACACCCCTGGCCGCAATTTGGACAATTCATCCCAGGGCATGTTTTATCAATTCAAGTCCGAACTAAAGATGGATCATATCTGCAAATTTAGAATCCATTTATTTTATTGAATAATTATAATTATAGATAATCTAATAAATGGATTAATAATATAATTCTCTAATGTCTACTTCGAATCCATGAACCTATTAATTAACCTATTTCTGTAATGTGATAACCACCTCCTTCCACAAACCCCAAAAAATTGGACGCCGCCCCCATCAGGGTGATCGCTTTATCTCCCCCGGGAGTCGGATTTTTCTTGGAAGGCTACCTCCTACAACAAGGTGGTGCCCCGGCTAAATCGCGTTCAGTTGGTAAGTCCATATCTCCAATTTCACCATGTGTTATTGTACTTATAACGTCTTATAACTATAGGTTAATGGGGTTTATATACTATAACTGGCCAATTTCACTATGGTAACTATATAACTATGGTATAGACATACTTTGGTTTATAAACCAACGTTCACATCACTGGGGGACCACCTAAGATTTTAGGATGATTATGGACATTTCATATGGAATCATCAATCATAATTGCAAAATTGTGATAAATTTAGGCTAGTCCGAGTGTAAGGCTCTTAATATTTCCAAGTGGCAATCAAGACGACCCAAGGATCTGACGGATGATGCCCACAAAAATATCATTAAGCAGCTCTCAAATGGCAATGGCTCAAAATTGATGTCCCAACAGAGCCAGAAATTCCTGTCTTGTGGTATCTAAACATCCCAAAATCAAGCTATATCATTTTGAGCCCCATGGACAAATACCAACGAATCAACAAACCCGAACACAAGAAACCAAAGCAAACCTGGGAATCAGACATTGTTCTGTGGATTGATCTATGGTTTTTAAGGGAGAAATCTCATGGTTTCAAACTTGATATTCAACAGCTCCCAGAAACCTTAGGACCTAGTGATAAAACATGGATGAAACCACAACTAGGACCATTCACCATGGGGCTGTTGCTTTTTACGCGAGACGCTGACGTTTGCCACCAACTGCCATGGTGGCCAAAGTGGCCATGGTGGCCTCAGGATTTGCACGGCAGAAATGCGCCAAGAGTTGGCCATCTGGCAAAACGATTCGAAGACGCTGGAGGTTGATCTTCATCTCACGCGCAATTCCTCCAGAATGTGCTTTGAATTTTTGTTCAATGGATTTTAAAACCAGACATCATATATTATATATATATATAATATATATAATATAATAATATATATATATAAGACATATCAGTATTCCCAGATTCTCCAGTCGTCGTGCATTAATCATGATTATGGGAAGAAAGAACACCTTCAGCCAAGCCAGGATTCGTTTGTGGCTTTCCCAGCAGAGATCGGAGCCTCCTGCGTTCAGCCGTAGCACTTCTTTCCCTGCCAAATCCGAACAGACCAGAGTCACATCATCACCTCCTGAGGCGACCTCCAGTTGTAAAACCAGGTCTGCACCAAGATTCATACAGCACATATAGTAGATACCGGCCCCAGGTGATGGAATGCTGCACTGTCCATAATTATTCCATCCACATGCCACAGCAGTGCCGTCGCTTCGGAGAAGCACCGTATGATGACCACCTGCTGTTTTGGTGGAGAAAAAATGGTAAAATACCACACATCCACTGACATCCACTTGTGAATCACAATGTTCCCAGTAAAGATATATTAAACATTGCCATTTTTGGTTGTTCCTTTTCTCACACCCACCTGCAGAAACTTGGGAATATGTCACTCCAGCATGCAAAGGTGGAATGCTGCATTGCCCGTCATCATTGAAGCCCCAAGCAACAGCAGCACCATCACTTCGAAGAAGAACGCTGTGACCACCACCTCCAGACATCTGGGTGTATCTAATGCCCCCGTCCAAAGGGAGGAGGTTGCATTCTCTATGAGAACCGCTTCCACAAGCCACTGCTTTCCCATCGCTTCGGAGGAGGAATGTGTGCGTAGCACCTGCAGAAACTTGGGTGTATGACATTCCTTCACCCAAAGGTGGAATGTCACATTGTCCCTGACGATTTAATCCGCAAGCAACAACCCTCCCATCACTTTGGAGACAGACAGAATGCGAACCACCGGCAGAAATTTGGGTGTATGATATCTGGTCCTTCAATGGAGGAATGTTGCACTGCCCATAGGTATTCTCACCGCAGGCAACAGCACTGCCATCACTTCGAAGAAGGACGTTATGAAAATCGGCTGCCGAAACTTGGGTGTATTCAATTCCATCTATCAGAGGCGGAATGTCGCATTGCCCAAATTCATTATCTCCAAAAGCCACAGCAAGGCCGTCACTTCGGAGAAGAATTGTATGTTCACTGCCCGCAGAAGCCTGCGTGTATGTCAGTCCATCATCCAATGCTGGAATTATGCATTGTCCTTCACGATTTGCTCCGCAAGCCACAACCTTGCCATCACTTCGGAGAAGCACAGTGTGAAGATTGCCTGCAGCAACCATTAGTTAAGCAAGGCTGATTGTTTGAACCAATTCTCGCCGAGCGGGCGATCCTTGATTGGTCAAGTATACATTTACATACAGTTCAGTTCATGCTGTGGGTGTGATTGGGTGTGTCCTGAAAATAGTTTGTAAGCCATTTGTAAGCCCAAAAGCAATCATTGATCATCATCTGGTTGGTGGTTTCAACCCCTCTGAAAAATATGATAGTCAGTTGGGATTATTATTCCCAATATATGGAAAGTCATAAAATTCCATGGTTCCAAACCAGCAACCAGTCATGTTCTGCATTGAAACAACCATGTTGCGCTATGCAGCCATCATTTTCAGACACACTCACGTGCGATATCCGCTGAAAATCTGGAGCCACTGGTCTTCAACTCCAAATATTCCCTACCCTTCTGCAATCAAACATATGGCTTTCTGGGAATCCTAGAACCCCAGAACAATCCATGGAGATTTATAGCTGGAAAAAAACAAAAACACTGAACTAAATGGGAATTCCAGGATCCTAAAATGGAGGTACGTTAGTACCATTTTTCAGGCCATATCTTGTGGGGATATTCCCTGAAATTTAGGCCAAAAAATAGGCCAAACATATATGGAATCGGTACCTCCAAATGGTTGTTTTTTTTCAGCCATGTTTGACACCAAAGGGTGAGGCTTCATCGTCCCACAGGGACATGTGTCAAAATCACCACCTTAAATAGCTATGGTCAAAATAGCTATGGTCAAAATCACAATTTTAAAGGTTCAGTATAAATAATCTATCTATCTATCTATCTATTTATCTATCTATATCTATGTATAAATTGCACATCTATACCATCTACCAAACTGTTAGTATCTACCGGAGGTAGAAGGAACATTTGGACGTCTCTGTGCGCTCGATGTCGAAAACATGTGGCCATGTTCCCCCTGGCCTCTTGGACAGATTCTCTGACATCATACCCACATCATGTGTATGTACAATATATATATATATATATATACATACATACATACATTAATTACATACATACATACATACATACATACATACATACATACATACATATTGTAGAACCCCCGTTTGGCTTAAGACTGCTTTTACCGTTTTGGTGCAGGAGGGGGGGGTATTGGTGCACGGCTGGTGCGCGGAAAAGGAAAATAGGGGCAAGGGTGGGTCTGGGAAGGGAAAAATAGGTGCGGGAGTGGGTTCTTGCCAATCTATGGATCCAGTCAGGATCCCGTCGGGACCCAGTCGGGCACCAATTTTTGCATTTTTGGGCACCGCTTTTGGCCAGTCGGGATCCAGTCGGGATCCAGTCGGGATCCAGTCGGGATCCAGTCGGGATCCAGTCGGGATCCAGTCGGGCACCAATGTCGGGAGGCAGCCAAATACATAAAACATAGCATTTTTGCAGTGTTTTTGCATGTTTTTCGGTGATTTTGGCTGCTTCCCGACAGGTCCAAACGTGGTGCCAAAAATTCGAAAATTGGTGCCCGACTGGATCCCGACTGGATCCCGACTGGCTCCCGACTGGCCAAAAGCGGTGCCCAAAAATGCAAAAATTGGTGCCCGATTGGGTCCCGACTGGGTCCCGACTGGGTCCCGACTGGATCCCGACCCGGTTTCTTCAAAAAAACCCCTATTTCCTTAAATTTGAGCCCCTATTTTTGAAATTTTAGCCCCTTGCCGTGCCCCCCCCCCCCCCCTCCGGACCCCCCCCCCACCAGTCTTAAGCCAAACACGGGCTTGGCAACATATATACATACATAACATAACATAACATACATACATTACATTACATAACATAACATAACATTACATTACATACATACATACATACATACATTACATACATACATACATACATACATACATACATACATACATACATACATACATACATACATACATACATACATACATACATACATACATACATACATACATACATACATAACATACATACATACATACATACATACATACATACATACATACATACATACATACATACATACATACATACATACATACATACATACATACATACATACATACATACATACATACATACATACATACATACATTACTTACATACATACATACATACATATACATATATATATATATATGTATATGTATATGTATTAATTTATACATATATATATATATATATATATATCATATCAGAGTTTTACTCAACAGATCTTTTGTTGACCATCTTTAAAACATCTGGGTATTCTGAGTATCGAAGTCCACAGTCCCCAACCCCGCGTCGCGTACCTCTTCTCATGGTCTGCATTTTCCATTGCGTTCTGTTCCGAAATCCTTAGGATCCGGAGCTACAGTTATGGCCATGGATACCCTCTGGTAAACATACAAAAAGCTATTGAAAATGGCCATAGAAATAGTGAGTGTTCCCATTAAACATGGTGATTTTCCATAGCAAAATGTTAGTTTACCAGAGGGTACCAGTTATAACTGGTGATTATACATTCTATAAATGGGGTTTTCTTAGTACTTATAACTGATAAATGGCCATAACTGTAGAGGAACCATGGTAGCTCGTTACAGCCAGGGTGAAACGTCAGGTTTGACATTTCGCAACCACTTTGATGTAACCAAAAAGAGCAGCCAACATATCCATATTGCCAACGTGTAAAGTTTATTCCAGTACGATGTACTACTGATTCCATTCCCGAAGAAACAAATGCCCACAGCGTGAGGGATTTTCAACATCGTAAGATGAACGTTGGAAGATGGATGAAAGGGTGACTCCACTTAGAGGGTGGTCTTCTAGGCATCACAGCGTCGTGTCCTCTGCAACTGGGCCACTCAAGAAGGCATGAGTTTACCCCAACTAGAAGGCGAACTCGACTGTTCATCGACTGTAAGTTTAGTAAGAAAACATGGGTTCCCCATATCATCCAACAGGTTCATGACTAAACAAGTCCAACAAAAAAAAAGTCCCAGTTTTGGCAGTTGGCCATATGATTCCCATCCGGGCCGAACCGAGTATCCAATTGTGCAACGTTTTGTCTTTGCACAGCCTGGTAATGCGGCAAGTCATGCTCGGGATCATAGCCTGATTTGAGCCTCCAACGTTGTGCAAAATCAAGAATTATGAACGAGAACCGCAAGCCAAGTCAAGTTCATATTCAACAATTTTGTAAATGTTGATATGTGTCAATATTATATAACAGCAAATGGACCATAAACAACCTGCATGGTTCAATATCAACCCAATTTAACCATAGACTACGATTATGATTCAATATTTTGACGTAATTCTGTAAGTACTGTTTATTCAATTTTATTCATCCTATATCAGAGGGCCCAACCAACCATGCTGTGTCCAACAGCGTGTCCCAAGTAAAGTTGGGTTGATCAAAACCGCAAAAACGGTTCAACGGTTGACTGTTTCAGTCCACCATAATCACAATATCTGAAGGTCAACCTGGCCCACTCAAGACAGTACCCAGCCATCTGCTCATGCTAGTCCCTTAAACCAAAAAAGCTAATTACATCAAGCTACACATGTGAAAAAACATGCTAAAATGGCTATATTATAGTTATTATAGCAATCCCAAACAACACGTCTGGCTGAGAACCAACATTCAGTCGAAACTCCATGGGCTGTGGCTCAGAATTTTCTAAACAATTCAGAATTGGTTTGCCATTTCATCACTGAGTTTTCGAAATAACATAGTTTTTTGTTTTTTTTATATCAACCGTGAATCCGCCGGAGAGTTAACCACCATGTCTCACCATCGAAACGGGGGGTTTTTGGCTTTGCATCCCAGAAACTCCATCTGAAGAAAGAGAGTCGCTGCATATGGTGAGCCTTGGAGGAATCGGAGAATCGTTCGAATCGTTCGCCCGTTACGTTGAAATTCTCAGGGATCCGCTTTGCGCGAATTTGGTTGGGGTAAAAACCAGGGACTTCCCTGTGGATTTTCCGAAGATGTTTGCAGAGAAATTCTGCTGTTTTCTTCTTTTTAATGATTCCTGAATCATTTTCATGATGGGCAACGTGCGCTTTCATCATGCAAAGAATCAGCCAAAAACCAGGCGTTTCGCCTCAGGAATTGGGAACCAACCACTTGGAGCAATCTCACAGAAACCTCAGTGTGGTACCTCAGGTTGTAAATCATATTTATCAAAAAAAACATCATGGCCTAATCTATATTAAACCGGGTAGCCCCCATCATAACCAACCAACGCTGTAGCTTGTATAATTTATGGCTTTAGTGTTGTTATGGACCAGTTTGTAAAGAGAAATAGCGCCACCAAAATGAAACTCAGGGACTTCGAACTGGGATGACCCTTCAATGCTGATTTAGACCCGCTAATCTACAATTTTCATGGAAAACGGACACCCTCCTATGAAACGGTTTTCATTTATTGTATTGCCAAACTAAACATGGCGATTTCACGGCCAAACATGTTGATTCTAAAAACATGTTTAAACATGGCCATGGCATGCCATGGCAATTTCCGAGCAAGACTCATTAGTTCGAAAAAACACTGCGATTTCATGTGATGTTGCAGTAACATTAGCCATTTCAGCCCGACTTTAGTGGCTATTGTTTATCCACAATGGGTTAGAGGTTAGCCCTGGAATTGCTGCTTCATACCCGACATGTTCCGTTCGTTTCCACCTGGATCAACCAAGGTTAGGAGCACTGTTCAAAACCCAAAATGTTGTCCATTGGTTGGTTGAGGACAGATGTCTTATGAAAATGAATTGTGGTAATCCCATATAGTCCCCAAACTAATCATCAACCAAAAGGGAGTTTGAACATCACTCAAAAGGCTAAATTCCATAAAATTCCCATTCAATCACCATTTTTGGTTGGTTAAATCCCATGAAAAACCACCATCTGACCAACATTTCACCACCATCATCACCAGGTGAGATCCCCCGAAGCTTTTTGCGGATCCGGACCGAAGTCCGCGCTTCCTGTCTTGGAGCGCGCAGCGTTCCCGTTGGCGTCCTCGGCGTTCCTGGGAGGCGCTGTGGTTCGAGGGGATGA